ATAGATAATTGATTTTATATTCTAAAACTTGGATGGAAAATTAAACAATTAGCTTATGTATTATAAATGTGGAGTAGGACCTTGCTATTATTTCATAATTAAGGTATAAACTGAACTTTCATATGGAAACGAATAAATTATTTAGTTGACGCAGGAATAAATTATTTAGTTGACGCAGAGTTGGGTGAAATAAATTGAGTTAGTGATGTGTACTTAATTGGTGTTGGAATTGTAAGACAGCGTTAGGTCGGGATTTAAGAAACTAAGTGAACTCATAAATATTAGGTTGCAACGATAGTGATCGGATAAGTTGTGAAAAATCATGAGTTGTAGTATAAAGAAACTAAGTGGAAGGAATACTTAATAAGTAGGCTTCAATATCCTTAAAATGAATTAATAAGCAACATAGGTGAAATGAGAGGTAATTATGAAAAGCAACTTTTAATGAGAAATGTTAAGATAATATAGGGAATAAGTATTAGACGTAAGTACGGTGATTAAATAGAAAGTGTGGAGATCCTTATAGAGTAAAATAACTAGTAGTGCAGGGATGTCCTTAGTAAATAAACTATTTAAATACTTGCGCTAGTGTACGATAAAAATATTATAAGAAGAATAGAACTTGTATATATATATATATAAATATATTATGCAGTTTATTGTAAAACAAGGTTATTTATAAGATTTTTATTAACGAAAGATGTTCTAAAGATTTCAGTAGTTGACTAGTGATAGCAACAAGAGGACTAGAGTAACAAATTTAAAGTCTCTTATACGAAGTTCCTTGTGAGCCTTTGATACGTAGTGCGAAACAATGGAACGAACCGTTGCTTGAAATAAGATAATGGGTAAGAGAAGTACAATCAGAATACCCCCACTCACTTTGCTTCCTCGATATGTATTCTCGCTCTTGAATTGTCTCCTTGGTATTGGAAGCAATTCCTTGTAACTTTAAAATTTCCCATGCGTCCATTCTTATTCTTTCCCACTAGATTCAATTCGAGGACAAATTGTTTTAAGGGGGGGGGGATTGTAATCCCCCGCATTTTTATTTTCAAAAAACTCAACTGGTATTGCAATTCCCCTCATGACCGTAATCGTACTATCTATAACTGCTCTAATTCGACACTCCTAAGAATCTCCTTCTCGTGGCATTGAAGCTAACTATAACACCTTCTATAATAAACTTTTAATAATCGTCTCACCGATGCGGTCAATGACATAAGTCTTAATTCTCTTTGTCCCACTAGATTCAATTACCATAATTATGGAGGACTATAAGACCTCTGATTGTGTACCACCGGTAGGGGGACTGGCCGATTGTACCTTTCCCACCCGTCTATTTTTTATTTTCAAAACTTTTGAATTTTTAATAAATCGAATAAATCCAAATTAATTTATAAAGGCATAAGTGCTGTTTTAATCAAGTTCAGTCCGAGTCAAATTGAATCTAATTATGAAGATCCCCTAAAAATATGCCATAATGTTTGGCCAGCTTCCACATGTCCCCAAATTAAACAGGCCTAAATTTATTCCGGTTACATCTTTTATTTGAAGGGTCGTCCATGGAAGAACCTATTTCGAAGGAGTATGTATTAATCATACCGAACGCAATTTTAATGTGTAAGTCCACTAGAACCACTTAATAATTTCGTAATCCTTCTTAGTATTCAATTACTATATATAAATGATCAGAAGTAATTTTTTCAAAACTTTTGAATTTTTAATAAATCGAAAATCCAAATTTTGATAAGATAGGCTGTAAGTACCGAGCAATTACAATTTGGGCCTAAATTGCAAGTTGGGCTTAAGCCCAAAACATATTATCGGAATTATTGGGTCGAGAACCTTTCGAAATTTTCAAGAACGAATATGGAGTCCTAACTATTAATGTATCTTAAATATATAAATGTCAGTGTGGTTACCACGGGAATTAATTATCTCAAACATCTAACTATCATGATTATTAATCTTAATATTAAGTAAATTGAAGAAATGGTATATAACCTAAATAAAATAATAAAAATAAATTGAACCAGATCTGTAAACAGGTGAACATCTCGTAAATCAAACAAATATCGGGCCAAATTATTGAACTAAAAATTTAGGTATTATTATTATTATTATTATCATTATTATTTTTATTATTATTATTAGGAATATCATTATTATTATTATTGTAACTAGAAATTTTATCTAAAGGTCATAAAGAAATAAATAGGGAAATTATATATATAGAGAAATATACAGTTTAGTTTGATATGTCAGTAAAGCGGATAGTAACCAAAACTAATAATTAAGGTAAAAGTACGTTTCTTGAATTAGACTTCTAATGTAGAGTTTTCTTATTATGTTAGATGTTTATAAGTTCCGAAAGGTGGAGACAAATGCTGGAAGCGTGCAGTAATAAAGATAGTCCTTTAAAGGACAATAAAGAACTAAAGGAACTGTGCAGTAGTGTTTAGATTAAGTTCGCCTCATCCACCTGCATTTCATGCATTCACGGCTAAATGTTATCATGCATTATTTTGTTGGATTGCCGTATTATGATGCACTATTTGTTGATATTTAAAATTGTTTGATTACTTGTGCTATGAATATACTGTGCCATATTTGTGTGGAATTGGGATGAAGTGGACCACCATGGGTTTGTGAGGACGGTCTATGTGATATGGATCCTGAATATGATGTGATATGGATCCTGAATATGATGTGATATGGAATTTGACCGTTGGCCGGGAAAATGGGAGATCGGCGCCCCCGTGTGCACCTGATGAGATGGATTATATAGAACCACAGGATGGCCTCTTGTTGTTGCGCACCGGACAGTCTAGATTTGATCGCAGCCCGCAGGTGGCCTCCTGTTGTGAGCGCTTGATGATCTAGATTGGATGGAGACCACCGATCTAGATTGGATTGGAGACCACCGGCGTATTGCCTCCTGTTGGCTATGAAAAAAAAGAGGAAAGAATGGAAAAACAATGACGAGGACTGGTCAGTTGAGGATTAGGATCCAGTTGGCCGTACTATGGGGGATCGGCTCCCTGGTTGCACAGTGTATGAGAGGGCGAGCCATTGTTGAGGACGGCTCGTGGGGGTTTCAGGTGGTTTGGCCACTCACTGACTAATTTCCACGTGATGTGATTATATGAAGGTGCTAATAATTGTGGTTGCTGTTGTATTGCCATTTGTGTGACAAACTGCATGATCATATAACTAAACGGGTGACCACATTAAAATATTTTAGCACTTGTATGATTGTGTGGGGTGAGAGGGTTATCTAATTCTACTCACTGAGTTTCGTACTCACCCCCCTCTAACCTCCCCAGGTAATAGATGAAAAGAAAAATCCTGGAGTCCAATCGAGCGAACGAGATAGAGATCGATAGGAGCAATGATCAGTGTAGTGAATATGTAAATGCAAAGAATAGTGAATTATGAAGTAGAGTTCCGCAATTGTATTTCAACTGAGTTGTAAATGAATAAATAGAGTATAGACATTTAGTATAGACATCTTATTATATGGATTGTACTTTGGATATATTTGTTTGAAATAAATTGTGGGCCTGAATCCACAATCCGTTGAATATGAAATGCGAGTCTTAAAGTAATAACAGGCCTTACTATGGGGCTTCTGGGGCGCCTTAAGCCCATTCCAGTCTAGTGCCGGTCCGGCCCATGGAAATGGGTTCTGCCCCTACAATTTTTATAATATTTTATTTCTTTTTAATTATGAAAGTTATGAATAATGTTTGGAAATAAATTAAAATATGATTTTTTATTATTTTTTATTTCTTTTAATTATGAAAGTTATGAATAATGTTTGTGAAATTAAATTAAAATATGATTTTTTATTATTATCAAGTGAACGCATTTTTCATTTTCTGTTCTCTAATTTTCATTTTCTAAGAAAACTAGTTCATTAAAAAACAGAAAATAGAAAACTGTTTTCTGTAAGTAAACGCCTCTCGTAGTTCGGATATGCCGTTGATGTTCTATTTGAAAATTTTCAACGAAAATCACTTATGTTGCTAAACGATTTTAATTAAGTGGTAGAAGTTCTTTTTTAAATTTATAACACATTCACTTAAAAAAAGAAAAAATAACCTACTATAAATGATAATTTATGAAATAGGTAATCATTTATGAAATAGGTAGTTTGACTAAGTGGAAACCGCAACTAACATTAATATAATATTAGCAAACCGCTCTTGAGCTGAGCTGCTTGAGGCTCAGATAAATACAAGTTCACTCGAGCTCATTCGATAAATTTGATCTCATTAGATGAGCTCTCAAATTAGCTCTTAATTTTATTAAATTGAATTGAGCTCACGAATTAGTTCAATAAATCAAAATTAATTAAATCTATATTAAAACAACGCCATTTTAGTTTAATAGATTTTGAGTTATTTTGAATTCGAGGTCAAGCACTGCTCGTTTATGATTATCGAATTAAGTCTGCGACTTCGAACTTGAGGTCGATTTGAGCTCGAACTCACTAGAGCTCGGCTTGTTTATAGTCCTACTTTCTAGGAAAAAGTTTCACTTAGCTGTTAGAGGCAATTGAATTATGCGTGATCCTTTTAGAAATTAAAAAAATAAAAAAGAATCTTTATTCTTAACATTTTCTTACGAGGAAGCAAAACAATTGGAAAGTGATGATGATTTTTAATTTTATATATTTTTTGTTCAATTCAGAAAATAAAAAGTTATTTTTAGATTTATCTCTATGAATATAGTTTGTCTGTAATTCTATCAGAATACAAAATGGAAATGACTAATGTGCTCAAAATAATGGTGTGTATAAATAAACCCATTAAAAGAATAAGCAGTAGACAAAAGCACCACAAACCACTATGATAGATACAAATGCATGCCCCAAACAAGGCATTAAAGATTCAAGGTGTTCAATCTTTTCCTTTTTTTTTTTTTTTTTGGATCTATCCACTGATATACTTACATAAAGATGGATCATACAAACAATATCATTGCAGGTATACTCAATCTTTTCCTTTTTTTTTTTTTTTTGACAGGATTTATCCACTGATATACTTACATAAAGATGATCATACAACAATATCAGGCAGTATACTCACTGATCAAATTAGCAGAATCACATGATGTCAAAATTTTAAACCTCTGCAGGCCATGTGGAAGATTCTATAAAATGTCATCTCTGAGCTCAAATTGACAGGATTTGTTTAGCACTTGCTAAATGAGGTCTCTGAAAGAATATGTTTACCAGTAATTATTCTCTTTTATCCTCTTCTGTCTCATACTCTTGATCAAAACCCTCCGTATTCCCACCATTCCTCTCTTTCTTCTCAACTAAACCTATATCACCATCTGATTTTCCTCTTGTTAGAGATTGCGCTTCTTCATCATCCGATTCTTCTCCCGCTTCTTCTGAGTAGGCATACCTATGAAGGTTGAAAGAAAAAGTTAGCATAAAAAGGAGGCTACAGGATGTAAGATGTGCTGAAAGATTTTTTGTTAAATTGAATTTCAGAATATACTATATACCGTTGTGCACTTTGAGAAGGAGCCCAGAGATAACAAATAACACAGAGCAAAGCCAATGCAAGAATGTCCCAGAAAGCAGTAATAATCCAAGCACTTTGCCACCTTTCATTAAATGGGTCTGTTGCTTTGAAGTAAACCTGTAAGAAAGCAGATCAGATTCATAACAACCTGAGCATTCAACTTAAAGACTAGAAGAGAACTAAAAGAAGCAACAAAGATCCATGGCAAATAAAAAAATAAACTTTGCATTAGAAGCAGGATAATCTTTAACATTCTCCTTCAACATTGTGAAGACGCAAAGTACTTGGGTGAAAGATATCAACATCTAATTGAAGATAATAGCTTGTTCAATATCTAACAGTTTCCATGCAGGCCAGTGATCTGCAAGGTCGACTAGCCTAATGTACACTCAATCTGCATATGGAATCTTATGAAGTGGTTCTTTGTATAAACATTCAACAGGAGAAGAATGTAGTACATGTTTCAGCTTTTCCCAGAATAAATTTAAAAGCCACAAGTATTCGAAACTATTATATGAACAGAAAATACAAAAAGAAAGGTATGCCATTATTTTTTCACTGGTATAATTTCTGAAACGAAGAAGATAATAAAAGCAAATCTAATGAACTTTTATAGAAGCTGATGTACTCTTATTCACAGATCATACCTCATATGCAATCCAAGCAACAGAAGCTATCACTGCTGCAGCTAGTGCATTTGAAAACTTCCTATAGATATCCAACTTAACGGAACTTCTTTTCACCTGCATAATCATAATTTTGTAGTCCAAATTAAGACAGCATGAAATAAAACTTACAAAAATAACAAGATGAAAAGAAACATAAGCACAAAGCAAGACATTAAGATTCAAAACAGAGACAGATAAGTTCAGCATGTTAGTACCTGTAGCTGCTCCAATGTTCTTGAAAGAGATGTAAATATCCAGAGTATCAGAAATGCATCCAAGAATGCATCAGGAAGGACTAAAAACAGTCTTGCTCTTCCTGATACATCATTGATATTCCCAACAAACTCAGTAATATCGAGCAATTCAGATGCCAAAAAATATGTAAACCCAATAAGAAGCACCTTTGAGGTAAGACCACCAAGTGTGGGCCGCACAACACCATAACCCATTGAAATTGAAAGTATAAGGAGGCGAGAGAGAGTTTTCCTAACTGCTCCAACTGTCACAACCCAGGTAGTAATTGCAACTGGCCTCACTCCTGTGCTGTTAAAATTTGCATATTCAGAATACCAAAGAATCATCTCAAACAATCCCAGGGCAATAACAGCTGTGATGCAATGCTGAAGTTGCAATATGTCCCTCCAAAACCTCATGTACTGGGTGAACCAAATAACACTGAGCAAAAGATATGCAAGAGACATGAACACATAAAACTTCATTAAAGGGGCCATCCTACCAGGTAAATAGCCATCAGGATTCTTCCAAACTGTCTTCCCACTCATTATTAGTCCCTTGAGTTGTGGATCACACGCGATAAAGAACAAGTTATACATTCCAGTCTTTGTGATGTTAACATACTGATCTCTTATGTTAGTGTTTAAGTAGTTACCACTGAATTGAACATTCAAAACAATAGGCCAGTTAATGTCTGTTGCTGAAGGTATTCTAATGACTTCACCTTGCTTGCAACCTTCTAGCTTAGCAAGATCAGGTGTGCAACAAATCGATCTTTGTCCTCCATAAGCAGAACCACCAATATTATTCCGGTCAGCTGCCTCAAAAATCACAACCTGTATCAATCCTGTACTATGTTCCGTTCCTGAATGCTCCTCAGCTGCAGCCTTGGTCCTCCAAAAAGTGATATCCCTAAACCTGATCCAATTGTTATATACATAATAAATCAAACTTACAAAAGAAATGCATAAATCACAAACAGAAAGGTTAAATACAAAAATGGATGTAACCACAAAATCTTCCAAAAACGGATATTATGAATACAAACCCTATGCCCCTCATACTTTAAAAAGAAAAGCCAGAAGGCAGACAAGCTAGAAGTTAATCCATTAGATCCATAATTGGCTAAAATCTACAAAACGACAACGAATTGATAGCTTCAAATCTGCTTTTGATTCCTCAGCTTTCATGGCACCCAAACTCGATTTGCAACCTCAGATCTCGTGTTCTAATCACCATTTTCAATTAAAATTTTGAATAAAACCAAAACTACACCAATTCACAGGAACCAAATCCAGGTATCAATTCGTTGCAATCTATTATATAGAAACATCAATGTAATGCAAAATCAGATCCGTGCAAAACACTTCCACTATAAAAGCCAAAAAATCCATTTTGTATCATTCAAATCACATATTTATTATAAATTAAAATAATAACAAGAAGAAATTGATAGCTACCTAATATAAGAGCGGCCATTGGAGGCCGAAGAGTCCGAGGCAACAATGCCTTCGCTGCCACCAGCAAGAAGGTAAGCGTTTCCAACTTCATTGAATTTCTCTTTGTCGTAGATATGGATAGAGGCGTCAGAGAGATTAATTTTTGAAAATAAGAATATTGAGAATGTGATAATGAGACAAAGATTGGGATAAGATCTGCAGCTGGATGCGAAATCCATGGGGAGAGAGTATGTGTGAGAGAAGGGGAAAAGGAGATCTTAGCGGCGGATTTGAGGGGGAGATCCTCAGATGCAGGCGTAGTGGTTGTGGAGGAAGAGAGTGTAATAGAGAAGCAAAGATCACTGTCGGTAAGAATAGCGAAAATGTGGGTTTACGCGCCAACAAGGACTTTCCCGTGGGTTTTGTGGTCGTAAGCTATTAGAACGACATCTCGTTAAACTTCTCATGGACGAAACTAGCCTTACTTGTCAAAGAGCTTTGCCGAACTTGCACGACTGGTCGTTCGATTGACCTCATAAAATTTATCCATCGACCATGGGTTTTTTCAGTTCTTACAAAAACTGAACAAACGGTCCTTTGTATATATATAGGTAGAATAGCGAAAATTGGGGTTTACGCGCCAACAAGACTTCCCGTGGGTTTTGTGGGTCGTAAGCTATTAGAACGGACCATCTCGTTAAACTTTCTCATGACGAAAACTAGCCTTACTTGTCAAAGAGCTTTGCCGAACTTGCACGACTGGTCCGTTCGATTGACCTCATAAAATATCCCATCGACCATGGGTTTTCTTCAGTTCTTACAAACTGAACAAACGGTCTTTGTATATATATATATAATAGTATATACTATATTAATAGAACAATTATATATAAAGAAAAATAGCTAAGATAAATCATAACAATAAATTTCTTTAAAATCAAATTCAACGTTTTGAATTATCATAAATCCAATCAAACTTTTTAAATAATATTAAAAAATTTAACTCTAATTATTTTTGTATTTCATTTTTTATACACTAAAAAATGAGAAACGAATTTTTTTTCCTCATATTGTTTAAGCTTTTCTTTTGCTTTTTTTTACATCTTAGTAATTGAGAATTTATTTCAAATAAGAAATGGAACTACAAACTATAAAAAAGAGCCTTGAAAATGATTTTACCCTAATTGAATATGGATTTATTTCTCAACATTACAAAACTTTACGATGAGTGCTTTTGAAATATTGCCAATCAAACCCACTATCCTATTAAACCATTTTCATAAATTTAGTTAATTGGAATACCCTTCAGTATTTGATTTCAATTTAAATTTTTTATAAAGCGCTACGAGGCCTTTTGGGGTTATGGTTGATGCTTGTTTCTTGGTTCTATCTCTACTAGAAACATTTCACCTCTACTACATTACATGTTTGTGCAAATCTTTCAAATCGAACCATAAACACATGTATAGCAAATATCAAAGAGTGACTCTGGACATATAACCAAAGTTTAAAGAAGAAAAATCCCACTAAAATGAACGGAAAGGCCACGAAGTTGTGCAGATTTTTCACATCTAGTTCTGCACTCTATGCTGTGTAGAACTTAAAATCCTGAAACCCTCAACTGTGAACTAAACTAACAGTTTGAAATTAATAATATAATCTATTTGAGTCAGTGAAATACATTAGTTAAAACTTATATGATAAGCTTGGAAAACAAATGAATGTAATTGCATTGATCAGATTGTTATACAAACATATTCAAAACAAATAGTTGCAAAAAAATACAGAAGCCTGAAATCTAGTATATAAGAATAAGAATAAATCTATTCCAAAACAAGAAAAATCACCCCTTGAGCCTGAAACTTCTACTGCCCCCTCTCACAGGCAAGAACACCTCAATTTCATTGAGAACTTGAGAAAACCAAAGTCTCATCTTGATACAGATAGATACCAGTAACTATAGAACTCAAAAGTCATCGCATTCATCATGTATCAAGAAGATTAATTAAAAAGAGAAAAAGGCCACTTTATATATCATTTCAGCAATCTGCTAATTTGCTTAACTCTACTAAGTTATCAAATAACTTCAGATCAAGCTCGGGTTTTGGATCATTTATTAAACGAGATAAGCTAAGCATGATACTGCTTATAAAGCTTTAACATAGATGCCATCATACAAACTTGTGGAAAAATTCTAACAATTAAAAAATAGATAAGCTCTGAACGTTCGAGCAAAGGTTCCTTCCCGAACATGTTTGATGACCAAGTAAACTTTGATTCAGTACCTCAACCTGGCTTAAAGTAGATTGAAGGTTCGTTTAGCATTGTTGGTTGCAATTATCATCAAGAAATGTAGAATACATTCTCTTGAAACATATATATTAAGGCAATTTAACATGATAAAATGTCAATTAAAAAAATATATGCATTCCAGTAATTCTCAATGCAGTAATAACACAATGAGCATCCAAAAATCCAAAATGCAATGAAAAATGTTTGGATACGTAAATCAATCATATTGAACACCAAACGATAAAAAAGAAATCTAAATTACATAAATTTCTTGTACATTAAAGCTAAGAAAATTGCAAACTTAACACTTATTAAGAAGCAAGTGAGGAATTAGATAGCCTAAGGCATTCACTTTGACACCTCCTTAAACACACATCATTCCAATTGGGAACTTGATGTTGATTAACACAAACAGTTCTTGCACAGGCATCAACACAGGCATCAAGCTCGGAAGCACCACAAACAGTAACACAAGAATCAACAGTTGGGTCTTTTGATAAAGCACCAACCTTTTTTAACATTCTTTTTGAAGTGCATACTCTTTCACATACAAAAATTTCATCAGAGCTCTTTTCGCGTCCTCTTACACTCTTTAGCCTTTGCTCTTCACCTCTTTTTTTCTTAATCCTCAACGCTTGCGCTGCAATAATTGCTGGTATTGCTGCTCCTAATACTGACCACCATGGATCCACCATAGCTGATTCAAACTTAAAATTAGATAAGAACTTGACTATGATGATGATGTGGCGGCGGAAATTAACAAGCCGTCGCCATTGAGATCGATCAGCAGTTGTTTCCTCCGAGGCTTTAGCGGTGGTAGGGTTTAGAGGGTGCAGACGATTGAGGGCCGAGGAGGCAGTTGATTTTATAGTCTTGATTTGGACGGTTGCGATTAAAATGTAATGCGTCGTACCTTGATTGTGGGGCCTTTTTTCTTTTAAAAAAAAACTATTGCAAATTGTACGATCTGTCGTTGGACGACCGCCTGTAATTATAGTTTGCCAGCACATAGACATCATTGTCATTTTGAATAAACCATCGATCTTTAGTGTTAAGATTCTTTATTGTAATTAAAGAGAATCGAATTCGAAAGCGCTGAACTACCAATTAAACTACAATTCGAATTAAATTATACTTTATCACTATTGTAAATAAGATTAATCCCTTAATTTTATATTTTTTAATAATTGATTTTTATAGAGGAAAATACTAAAGTTGAATCAGGCATTGTGGTTTAAATCAGTCAAAAAATCTCAAATTGAGAGGAAATTCAAAATAAAAAGCTTCTAAAATGCCATATAAGACTACACCCAAAACACCTAATAACTTTGGTCTAAAATAAAGGATCTATCATCTGAAGCAAACTAATAAATAATCTAAATATTCAGTCCAAACTAAATTTAAATACCAAAATTTGAGGTTTAATTGATAAATACTCATAGGTGGGATGGTTCCACAAGTTTAGGAACTTCAAATGCAACCTTATGGTGACAACTCTTCTTTTATGTCTATGAGTGACATTGACATATCAGCAGCTGGTCCCATTTTCTTAAGCTTATCCCTGCATCAATGGCACATTCCATAAGTAACATTTAAAAAAAATAATAATAATAAAACCATTTACAGACTTTAACTCAAATTTCGATTTGTTTATTAAATGGTATCGATAAACAGATCTGAGCTCAGCTCGTTAATTTTAAAATTTTTTTTCCAAGCTGAACTTGAGCAAGTAAACATTCTACTTACATGGAAGAGTGCGTCTCAATTGGCAATTCTTTTGAAGTAGTGCTGGGTGTAAGGAAGGTGCTTCCAAGACCTATTTCATTGCATGATACTTGCAGGTTATTTGCATTATAAATGAGGAGATCATCTTCATTTTCAGACAAGATGGAAGGCTTTTCATACTTCAAAATATTGCGAAGATCTCTTTGTAGTTTTTCAATAGGTGAAAGATTGCGATGAACCACTAAAGACCTCTTTTTTGAAGGGATGCAAGACTTCCATGAGCTTTCCTGAATTAAACCTGCAAACCATAAATAATTATCATTTAATTAATAATTATAAGAAGCTTTCTTGGTTGGAATCGCTATCGGAACTATCAATTCTAATTGATTTTATTCCAAACTATAAGGAAACAACAATTGAAATTAGACTCGACCTACTGATTTTTTTCGATTGAAAATCAAAATTCTTTTAATTGAACTAAATCAATAACCAATATTAATTATAAAAAAAATTCTAACCAAATTGAGCTTGGACAACTAAACGAAGTTCAAGTGATGGTTAAGTGTTTGATAAAATTATTCAAAAATAACTGTTATTTAATTTAATTAATAGATATTTAAAAGTTATTTTTAAATAGTTTAAGTATATGAATAATATATTCTTAACAGTAAGTTAATTTATCAAAATTATAAAAAAAATGATATATTAATTGAATAAATAATTGAAGGGTTTATTAATTAAAAAGAAGACTACTATTACTTAATTAAAGTAAGAATGCCTCATACTTTTGACTTTTTTTAAATAATTAAAGTAAGGAAACAAAATCTATTGCTAGAGATTGCAAATCCTCACAATTATTAATTTTATGACTCAGATTTCCTAAATCCTACCCTATTAATATATAAGTCATGTTCAACAAAATTAGTTATTTTAATAGTTGTCAGCTGTCCCGTTACCTATCAGCTATTTTACAAACGTTTCATCAAACATTTAAGCGAGTAACATTTCATAATACGCTTCCTAAAACTTTAAATGGCAATATAAACACCATATGCTACTAAACACTATAAATAATAGGAGATACACTAAAAACTACATTAAAAGTTGTTACCGAACAGGGTCATAGACTGCAACTTACCTGGAATCTCACCTCCATCCTCTGCTTCTATCTTGCAGCAGCATAGGGGATATGACATTGCAGATTCTGAGCTAGATTTAGTGCCTGTAGAGTCACCAGAGCTAGTTGATGAATGGTAACTATCATTTGAGAACTCTTCTATTTTGATGTTTTCTTCCTTTGAGTTAATTCTTGTTCTTTTAGCAATTGGTTGGCCTTGTGCATGCTTAGGTACATAATTTGCTAGACTTCCCCTAATCCTGTATCTTGATCCGCAGGCATTACACAACACTGGCTTCTCCGGTGGCCCATTTCTCCACAATGGAGTGCCTGTCAGAATAATTTGTGGTATAATAAATTCTAGGCATTTAGTAAAGCAATCACAAAAAAATTTATAAAAAGCATACATAAAATTATTTAATTTAAAAGAAGCAATCAAAATCTTATCAAGAGTGCAGAGATATTTATGAGAAAATCAAAAAAAAAAAAAAATCATATGTATAATGCAGAGATATTTATGAGAAAATCAAAAAAAAAAAAAAAATCATACTTATAAAAACAAATAAAAAAAAATTGAATAGAAAGGTCGTATTTCGTAACAGCCTTTTTTAAAAGCAAAAAAAAAAAAAAATCATACTAATAAAAACAAAGAAAAAAAAATTGAATAGAAAGGTCGTATTCGTAACAGCTTTTAAAATAATTTTTATATATAAAAAAAATTTACCCAACTAGTAGCTATTCAAATACCTAAACACTACTAGAACAGTTAATTTTGCTGAATATATCTAAAGTCATTATTAAATTAAAAACACGATTAATTTATATTCTCAATAGTAGATTTTTGAATTAAAAATTTTTTAAAAAATTGAGAGTGTAGTAAATAATAGATTCTTATAATATTATCTTTATATATCTAAAATTGATTTTGAATAATTGAGGCATAAATGGTTTAAAAATATATATATAAATGTATATTTCCCTTTCACTTTTAAATCAAGAAGAAGAGTGAAGAAAGCTTACTTTGAGTGCCACAATGGTGACAAGGTCCTTGTTTTCCCATATTGATGTTCTCAAAACCCAACTTCAAAACTCCCAATTTCTCAAGCCAATCACCCTATACAGAAATTCAAATAAAATTACAAGAAAACCAAAAAGAAGAAAAAAAATATAAAACCTTAGAGCAGTATATGAAATTTTACTTTTTCTTTTTTCTCCTTTTGAACTTTTAATTCAATTAAAGAAATGGAAATTAAAATTTCAGAATTGAAAAAAAAAATCTGAAAAAAAGAAAAGTAGAATTTACCGTTATATGTAATAGTTCTATCAAGTAGTGATGATAAATAATTATCATAACCCTTATCAAAATTGAGTTGTAACTGTTTGAAACTTAATCAAGAAACAAGAACTGCATTGGATTCTGGAGGTGGGTTTTTGATAATGGCAATAGCTAAAAATGGCTAAATTTATAAACATACTCTCAATTTTTTTATTTATTACAAATTACTATATTTTGACTTTTATATTCTACGCACGCTATTTTAAAATTTAAATATATTAGTACCAAAATATTAAGGTTTAGAGTAAAAAAATATTTCAGTAGGATCGACAAATTAATCTTGATAAACTGAACTCGAGCTCCTAAACGAATCGTTTTGAACTCATAATTTACTTAACCACTTTCTCTCTCTTCAGGGCTGCAAGTAACATCGCAACTATTTCCATCATATTTGTTCCACTATTCAGAGAGTAAACAGATTCAACGATTTCCAATTCAGTATTTTCACGATCGTTAACCTGTCTCAGTTGATTGATCACATGTTATGCTCCTGTTGAAGATGGATTGGAACTTTAGAGGACCGAGAAGTGAGAGAGGGAGACTCACGATGAATGACAAAAGGGTATCTGCAAGGGAGAGAAATGATATGAGTAGTCGACCATTGGACAGTGGAAAAGAAGAGAGAAGTCAAGATTGAAGAGGGAGAGAAAGTGGTTGAGAGGTTGAAGAGAAAGAAAGCAGCTGAGTAACTTATGGGATTCAAAACGGTTCATTTGAGGACATGGGTTCAGTTTACCAAGGTTAATATGTGAACCAAACTAAAACTTTTTTTTTATTATTATTCTACACCTAACCCTAATTTCATATTGAAGTGCTAATATATTTAAGTTTCAAACAGAATGATATTTCAGCAATAAGTCGATCCGGTAGGAGTATGTTTTATAGGTTTGGCGGCTACAAATTGGAATGTGGTTAGTTGCATCATTACATGCCATAAGATAGGTAATTGGGTGCAATTATTAGGTTTTGATTTGATGAATGTGTGTGGTAATTATATTATTCATTTGTAATGAAGAAGATAGCAAACCAAGAAATGGGTAGGTATGGGAGAAAAGAATAAAGAAATGTAATTAAAATTAATACCTAATAATGGAAAATTTTACAAGCATCTATTTGCTAACCAATTTCCAAAGGATTCTCCAATATACATAGCATGGACAACTCTTTTCAAATTTCTGATTTGTTTAGACTTTAATAGCACTAGGTGCATGAATGGCAAGTTAGAAAGAAAATATCCAATTATTCCAATTCATTTAATTTCTATATGAATTTATTTTTTTTAAGAAATAAGAAATATTAGTCGCGAGGAAACCAACCAGGCCACCGTTTGATTGGCTCATTACACCTACTATTTGCCTTTTATTACTACTATATATTCCTTTCTTTTTTTTTTTTTCCTAAGCTCTAAGGGGCCACACACCTATTTTCCGTTGGTTGTAAGATATTGTAAATGGTTGATAATTCACTCATTCAAGTAAAATTCATACAAACATTATACAAAAAAAAAAAAAAAAAAAAATTAAAAATTCATACAAACATTATCAAAAAAAAAAAAAAAAAATCTCCATAGAAGGAACAAAAAAAAAAAAAAAAAAAATCTCCATAGAAGGAAACATTATACAAAAAATTAAGAATATAATATAATTTTTATCTATAATATATAATATATATAAAAGTAAGGGGAATGTTATGACCGCCAAAAATGTTTCTATTAAATTTATGTATTGATAAAAATATCTTTAAATTTAAATTCGGTTAAAAAAATAATATGAAATATTATATAAGGTATATAATAAATATAGTGAGAATATAATATCTTTAAAATTTTAATTTTATTTGTATTAGTATATTTTAAATATGATAAGAATATAATAATTTTAAGAATTTTAATTTATTTATTGAAAAAATAAAGGTATGATTCCAATTTAAAAATTCCAAAATCAAGGATGAACGGACAAAGAATAGCCATATGGATGTGAGATAACGTGTTGTAGGGCCAATTAAGCAATAAATTAATTATGAACTTTGGATGAAGGCGGTAATTGGCAAGGAAAAATAGATCTAAGGTAGTAATTGACAAAATCAAAAAATCAAAAGTATTTATTAAATTTGTCAAAAATATCAAAGTTCAGGCTTTTTTTTATGATTTAGCGTATAAATTAAATTTACTTGCAATAAATAAAAATCAATGAACACAAACAATATAGAAAACGCGTTTGAGAAAAGTAGTACCATAAAAAATAATAAACAACTAAAAAAAATTTAAAAGAGGCAGTTATATAAAATTAGATGCTTTGTTAAAAAAAAAAAAATAGAAGTATATACACAGAATTTATGTTTAATTTTTTTTAAAAAAAAGAATTCAGTTGATGTTTTATAAATGTTTTGGAATTGAGCAGCTTTTAATATATAAAAAATAAGAGGTTGAAACCAATGACGTGTAAATTGGAATGGTAAATATATATATAAAAAACACATTTACTGAGACGGTGAAGAATTTTTACAGTTTATGATTCGAAAAAGGAAAATAATCCATTTGGGAAATACTCAAATCAATAGTTCACAACAAGTTTCCAAATTTTCTGCAGCCATATAGTTGCCATTTACGAGTATAATTCTTGGAATGTTACACAACAACATACCCCTAATTTACTTATGAATTGTGGCTCAGTTGGTAATACAGGCTGGACATGTAGCAAGAGCTCTGGGGTTCAATTCCTATAAAACTCACCTACAGAGAAGGACGAAAATCGTTAGTCATGATTGAGCCTCAAGCCGGAATAGGTAGTACCTGGTAAACCAATATAATAAGAAATTTTACCATATTCTCTTTACAATGTTTAACGAAGTATTTTTATTTCAAAAATAAAAATAATATTATTAGCATATTTGAGAGTGAGGTTGAAATCTTGAGGTGTTACAAAATTATTATTAGCATTTTTATAATAATTCTAAAATCCATGCAGAATGGCAATTAGTTTCCATATTGTTTCCTTTTTTTTTTTGGCAATAGTTTCCATATTCTGTTTTTCCTTTTTTTTTTTTTTTTTTTTGTTCTTTTTAGGGAAATTTCCACGTTTAATTTAATAAAACATGTCAAATTTTATTAATACTATCTACAAAATTTAGACTATTTAATTTTATTCCAAAAATATTACTCAATTTGAATTTTATTTTCTAATTAGAGAGTAGATTGTAAAATTCTAGGGATTTCATATTCCATTCATTCAAAATTGCAGTTACCATTTATAAATAACATTTTATATTTGAATATATATTATATAAATTTAAAAATAATTTTTAATTTATTGGGTGTACATGTCAACTTATAATCTATTATTTCAAAATCTCATTATAACACATACCTGAGATTGTATTGATATTTAAAGAGTTAGACAAATTTAAAGTTTCATATTCAAAAATGATTATATTTAAGTGAAGTAAAAAAAAGAAAAATTATTATAAAAAAAGAGAAAAATCATATTATATATATATATAAGAATCAATCAGTACAATATCTATAACATATTTATTATAAAAAATCATGTAAAACAGCCAAAATCTTTGTATTTTATATTTTATATATACATATGGAAATTTAAAAATATTGCTGTTTTTAAAGGGTGGCGGACTTCTATTTAAAGGAGGTTCTCCAACATAATTTGAAGCACCAAATAGTTGAAGTAATTTGAAGCACCAAATAGTTGAAGTTGAGAATTCAATGAGAAAAATGGCAGAGAGTAGTAGAAATTCATTTTTGCAGTTCTCTTTCCTTTTGTTTGTTTTTATCTTTTCCTTTTATCTTGCTGAGGCTCGTTCTTCTATTATGGCCATTAAAGAGATAAAGTCTGCTTCATACGCACATCAACTTTTGAATTTTGGAATGTTACCTAAAGGACCGGTTCTTCCGTACGGTGGAACTCCACCTATTACAAATCCATCACCACCCTCAACCCAACATTTGCATTACAGAATATTACCTAAAGGTCCAGTTCCTCCGTCTGGACCTTCACCTATTATAAATCCACCATCACTCTCAACCCAACATTTGAATTACAGAATATTGCCTAAAGGTCCAGTTCCTCCGTCTGGACCTTCACCTATTACAAATCCACCATCACTCTCAACCCCCAACGTTTAAAATTACAGAATGCTTGCCTAAAGGTCCAGTTCCTCCATCCTGGACCTTCAACCTATATAAATCCACCATCTACTCTTCAACCCAACGTTGAATTACAGAATGTGCCTAAAGGTCAAGTTCCTCCATCTGGAGGAACTCCACCTGTTACAAAATCCACCACCACCCTTCAAACTCAACATTGAATTACAGAAAGAATGTTTGCCTAAAGGGTCCGGTTGCTCCATCTGGACCTTCGCCTATTTACAAATCCACCATCACTCTCAACCCAACGTTTCCTATTACAAATCCACCATCACTCTCAACCCAACGTTTAAATTACAGAATGTTGCCTAAAGGTCCAGTTCCTCCATCTGGACCTTCACCTATTATAAATCCACCATCACTCTCAACCCAACGTTTGAATTACAGAATGTTGCCTAAAGGTCCGGTTGCTCCATCCGGAGGAACTCCACCTATTACAAACCCACCACCACCCTCAACCCAATATTGAAAATTTTAGAATATTGTCTAAAGGTGTTGTTCCTCCATAGAACCACCTCCACTATCAATAATTGACCTTTGTTTAGCCAACTAAGGCAGCTGCATTTTCATTACTGCAATAATATTTATAATTTATTCAATAATATTGTCGGAATACCCATTGATGGTACTGTGCTGTAATCATTTTTATCTTAATTACAAATTTCGAATTGTTTTTGTTTCAATTTCTCTTTTTTATTTGTTGTTACTTGCATTTATTCTTTTTTATGGTCAATCTCATATATATGAATAAAATGACTTGCAAAGACATATATATCAGTAATAAAACTCATATACACATTATAAAAAAATTCTCCCAAAAGAAAATAAATAAATTATACAAAATCAAAACAACATAATACTAACTAGTCCTTTGAATTTAATTTCATTAAACTGTTCAATAAGTACTATTTTTATATTTACGTTTTATTATTTAACAGAGTTGCATTAAATTTGAAAGATTCAATGATCTGAGAATTGTAGTTATTGATCTAGAGAATCGATAACAGACTCAAATTGGATTGATTTTATTTCTAAACCATTTAAAGAAAAAACCAAAATATATTCATAAGAATCGAACATTCCATCTTCTTATTTAAGGAATATGATCTTTTATAACGCCCCATTTTTCTGTGTCTGAAATAGTAAGTTATCGGTCTGTGAATAGTGCCATCGGTCTGGGAATAAGTTATGATAAATTTATTATCATAAATTTATGATAATAAGTTATCATAAATTTCATTATGATAATAAATTACTATCTATGTGTTAAGTTACGACGGTGTCTCAGGTACCGAATGTGACATCCGCCGTCGGGTCTCTCGAGACTGGGTGGCGGGTGTTACATCTTTTCACTCAAATCAATTTTCGTTGGTAATCTCCTTTTTTATGAAATTTATTGATTTATTCATTAAATTATTTCTCTTTCGAAGCTATATTTTTTGGATTTTATCCTTCCTCTTTTGCCATGGATAAATGACTTTGATGGATTTTTCAGAAAAAGTTCTTTTATGTATAGATGCCTTAAATATCTCCTTTATTACATATATAAACTTTGCCGTATAATTTATTCATAATTTGTTTTGTAGACCATATATTTTATTTTTGAATAATGTTCCTCACTAACATAAGCAGAATCATTAATTTTTTTAATTTGAGAAATTCTTAGGTAGATTCAGTCTACCACATCAGTTATAGATTCATCTAATGAAATAAAACCATACCAGCAACTTAAAATTAATATAAAATAATAATGTCTATAACATTAAATCCATAAGTTAATAATTTGTTCCTATCATTAAAAGTTATATAAATTATTACTTAATATATTATTAATTCTCATTAATTTAATTGATAGATATTTATAAATTTAATTTATTTTCAAATAAATATATTTACTCATTAATTTAATTGACTAGAGTATTTATAAATTTAATTTATTTTCAAATAAATATAAAAATAACACGTACTAATTCATGTTCATATTTTTGATGTATATATGATTAGATATTCAGCCCCAAAATCATTATATACACTAACTCTTCCTTTTTAATAAAATTTTATGAGATAGCAAGTTTGGTTCCATCCATTCATCCAATTGTAGAATCTAACATTAATTTCTACAGCAAAAACTTAATATATTATTAATTCTCATTAATTTAATTGATAGATATTTATAAATTTAATTTATTTTCAAATAAATATAAAAATAAACGTACTAATCATGTCATTATTTTGATGTATATATGATAGATATTCAGCCCCAAATCATTATATACACTAACTCTTCCTTTTTAATAAATTTATGAGATATCAAGTTTGGTTCCATCATCATCCAATTGTAGAATCTAACATTATTTCTACACAAAATACCTTCAATTGGCGCATCTACCAACATTATCTCACCTAACTAAGAAAATAAACGTGAAACAACTATTAAAAAAGAAAAATGTCTTATTATTTTTCCCAAAAAATGCAAAGAAAGATATTTTTCCCAAAAAATGCAAAGAAAGATATCTCGATTTTAAATTTTCGTCTGATCGTAAGAGTTTAATTTAATTTAGGGAGTTCAAAGAAGAACTAATAATGCCTAGATCATAATATTATTCCGGTTCATTTAGTCTATTAATTAAAAAAAGAAAAAAAAGGCTAAACTTCTATGAACTCAATAATTTCTTTTTGGTCCCCCTTCTCTATCCTATTTCTGCCCCACAATACCTGCAAGGCAATCCATTATTTTAGAAGCAACTATTGGTCTTCATGGCATGGAAGATTGTTTCTGATGCAGCAGAAATCATCAGGTACCATTCTTTTACTGTATTTCTTTAATTCCTTTCACTCAAAATACCATTTTTCATTTTCATTTTCATTTTCTTTGAAATCTCAATGTACTAATATCCCTTTTTGTCTCCATGCAAAACGTTATCAAGAATTCTTTTTTATTATTCATTCATCAGTTATATCTGTTTTCCCTTTTCAGACTCTGCCTTCCCAATTCTCTTTCTTCCTGTTTGTGATGGACATTAATGGCTTTGCCTAATTTTCCAGGAGACACCCTTTGTTTGTAAATGCCTTCACTTGGAAAGGAATATAATTTATGAGCTAAAACGCATCGGAACAGTTCACTCCAGTGGCTTTGTCCTTCATTTTGTTTATGATAACCCCTCGTTTTGAGGGGTTGTTTGGGATTTTTTTTTGGATGGGTTGAAAACCCTGAACCCATCCATTTTTCAACTTACCTAATTGGAGGATTGGAAAGGCTCATGTTATTTGTACTCTTATTAAAATGACTTGCTATAGAAACCCAAAAAAGAATGAATGTAACAGTTTCAAGTGCTATTGGTTTCATTGCTAATAAACTATAGAGCACCAATTTGGCTTACTGCAAATGACTTGTTATAAAAACCCACAGAAGAATTAACGTATGACAGTTCCATTTTTGTTTCTTGAACTTTTGTTGAGCTTTCTTTTCAGTGTGCTTGTGGCTTGACAGAATAAAATATATCAGATAATGGCACATCACTGCAAACCCTCCTACGGTTTTTTTTGTTCTTCTCGATTGATAAATAATTTACATGCATTTTGATCTTCTTGTTTACGGTAGCTAGTTTGCTTGAGAAAAATTCTCATCGAGTTCAACTGATCTTTTTTGTTTTTTGCTCCAGAAAAAAAAAACAAAAAAAAGCTTCTAGGAAAGGCAGATAATGGCCCATATAATGGATGGTAACAATGATGACCCATTTCCCCATCTGGGGAGTGTGTATCGAAAAGGTTCTGGTAGTCCCCTTGTTAAGCAGTTGAGTAAAAATGGTAATATTGCTGCAGAAGGCAGTGGTCCTAAGAACTCTATTCCTAGTGCATGGGGGCGTTCAACATTGATGCATAAGCTGGGGGTACAAACTAGTGGCAATGGTAGGACAATTCAAAATGCTAGTTCAGAGAATTTCTCTAGCTGTAGAAATGAATTTTCTTCTCAACAGAACAACAAGGATAAGCAGGGTGCGAAATCATGGAATGTACCTACTCCTCAAGTTGGCTTTCCCCAGTTGAATAATGAGGAAGATAGGATCGCCAAGGATGAATTCTCCAATCGCCGAGTTGGTAGTTTTGATGCTGATGGGAATGATGATGAAGTGTTGTTTGTCAGTAGTGATGATGATGATATGTTTGATGATGATTCTGATTTGGAAAAGAGCCATGAGACATGCAAGAAAAGTAAGTGGTTTAACCAATTCTTTCAGAGTATGGATGAGCTGACTGCTGAGGAGATAAATTCTCCAGGAAGAGAGTGGCATTGCCCTGCTTGCAAAGGGGGTCCTGGTGCCATTGATTGGTATAGAGGCCTAGAGCCCCTAATGTATCATGCTATGACTAGAAAGACAAGAAGAGTAAAGCTCCATCGTGTCTTTACTGAAGTTTTGGATGAGGAGACGCGGAGGAGGGGAATTTCAGTTGCACCAGTTGGTGTAGCCTATGATAGATGGCAAGGTTTAAATGGGAAAGTCAAAGACTATGAAATAGTTTGGCCTCCAATGGTTATAATCATGAACACAAGATATGAGATGGAGGATCATGGCAAGGTAATGTAATATTTTCTTCATTGCACATTATTTGAGTGTAATTCTTATGCTAAACTTTTGGTTTCAAGGTATATATGTATCTAGTGCATTTTTGGAAAGATTTCTTGAATCTCACAGAGCTTATTGTTTTTAACTAAATTGGATTAGTGGATTGGGATGGGAAACCAAGAGCTTCTAGATTACTTCAAATCATATGCTGCAGTGAAGGCTCGACATTCATATGGTCCACAAGGACATAGAGGGATGAGTGTGTTGATTTTTGGTGGCACAGCAGCAGGTTATTTAGAGGCCGCTCGCCTGCATAGGCATTTTGAAGATCAAGGAAGAGACAGGGATGCCTGGAACCGTTGTAGATTCCAATTCTGTTCAGGTGGGAAGCGCCAACTCTGTGGCTACATGGCTTTGAAAGAAGATATGGAAATTTTCAATCTGCATTGTCAAGGTCTGTCTGAGTTTGCAATTGATAGTGTGGCTACTAGATTTTGATGATAATGCATTTTGGCATTGTTTAACTGTATGTTCAACTGATTAGGGAAGTCCAAGTTGAAATTTGAAATGAGGTCATACCAAGAGATGGTTGGGGCACAGATTAAGCTACTAAATGAAGATAGCCAAGAACTTGTCAAGGTCAAGGAAGAGATTGCTAAGGAGCAAAAACTTTCACAAGTTCTAGCTGAGTCTGTAAGCAGATTGAGTCAAAAGCTGCGGAAGTCTGAAGCAACAAACTACAGTATGAGAGAGCGAACTGAGTTGCTACTTGAACAGAAGAACAAAGAGGTAAAACTTTGATCTGGAAATAGTTGTTATTGTTAATGTGTTTTAGTCCTGTATTTTCTGGACAAAATGAAGTACTTGAACCTTATAAGGTGTCCTGTATTTTTCGAATGCTTCAATCAATTTAATTTTCAGCAAGGCTGCAGGAAGAACAAGCCAACTTCTCCTTTCTTTTTCCTTTTCCTTGATGCTTTTCCAATTTCCACTGGTATCCATTGTCTTAGTGTTGTATTTCCGTGTTAATGCTTTCCTTTTCAGTTGGATTCCCAGGAACAGTTTTTCTTGGATCAAATCAAAAGCATCCGTCAAGCTATAAATGTGAAAGAAGATAATTTTGAGAAGTTACAACAAGCTAAGAGGGAGAAAGTTGAGCAATCAAATGCAAATCTCTCAACCATAAGGGATACACAAAGGTAATGAAACCTCCCCACAGAAGAAGAAATCAAGATAAAGAAATAGATTTTTATTGAATCAAGTAAAATTGTTTTTTAAAATTCTTAAAATGGTTTTGAAATCTCTGTGCAAATAGGATGGAGGATACTGCAAATTTCAACATCCAGGGTAAGGAAATGGAAGAATTTGAAGCAGAGAGGAAGAGACTGATAAAAAGCCATGAAGACAAAAAAGCTTTAGCTTTGATCAAACATTGGGAAGAGCTGGTACTGATGGAAAAGGAGCTTGAAAATGAACTGACCCAACTAATGGAAAAGTACAACAAATGAATATCCTCAAGTACAAAGCAAAGCTAGTTGAGAAATACTGATACCAGAATCTATACAGGCATAAAAAGCAGAAGGGAGGAGATAATCCTTTTTTAAAAAAAAAAAAAGAAAGAAAATAGAGTAAAGAATTAAGACTCCAATCCAATTCAATACACAATATTCAATTCTGGTTTTTGCTTAATGAATTTTTGTTATTTTATTACAAATGGGATTTTGAGTCAATAAATTGGCATGGCGCTCCTTTTGTGTTAGAACTTAAAAGATTTTAATTTTTAATGACATTTCTTTTTTGTATTAGCATTATCTCCTCTGAAACCACCAAGAGGAAAACCCTAGCCAGAGATTGAATAGAATGCAAAGGAGAACAAGGCAATGAAGCAGATGTAGAGAGAAAAATAAAGAAAGCAAATTTTAGGCAGAGAAAAAAAGTGCAGAGAGGAAAGATTCTAACCTTACTCTTTCTTTCTCTTCGAAATTCAGGTTGGCTGTCAAATTGATGATTTAAAATTTGAAAAGTATATTCAAATATCAGTTACATAAATTAAGCATTCTTGAACGCTCTATCAGTTGGCAGTGGAACTGCTATTCCTTCAAAATCATTGTACGACAACGACAAGCACTATTTACAAGAATGGGCTTGGGCTGATCTTTAGGATTTGTTTCATTATTGGGTCAACCCAAGTTTGTGTCTAATCCTTTATTGGGCCAACCGAAGCCCACGTAAGTTTGAGCCGGCTCTAAGCCCAAATTAAAATGCCTCCAGCTTGAGACTGCAAAGACTGAAACTAACTGTTTCGAGCTTCTGTAGTGTAAGGAATGGAAGCGGAGGTAGAGAAGAGGAAACCGATAGCTCTTTTCATGGCTTTTGGTACCAAAGGCGATGTTTATCCAATTGCAGTAAGTATTTAGCATAAAGCAAATGTATTTTCATTTGTTTTTTGAGATAATATGACGAGAATTAAGAGTTTAAAGTTTAAACTTAATGATAATTATAGCATTATGGTAGTTTCATAGATTCCTCTAATTCAACTTAGTTTAATTTTAAACATGTAATTTTTGGTGATTGATTGTTTAGGGAGCTTAATTATTGATTAACTTAGCACTTGGATTTCTAATTTGCACCTAGTTGATGTTTATTAATTATTGTCTTGAGTTTGCTCTGTGTGTATGTGTCAATCTTATGCCATTTGGATGTTATTTTGTGTGTATACACACACACACATATATATATATATAGATATATTGGTGGCTGGACAAAAATTTGATACTGAATCATGTTTTATTCAACTTCATCTGTTTAACTGAATATTTGAAACAAAGGCAAAGTTCTGAATTAATTTTTACCTAAAATTGGAGCCTTTTCTTTTCAGGCCATTGCTGCGGCTTTCGCTTTTGATCAGAAGCAATATCATGTGGTTCTAGTAACGCACTCAGCACATGAGGTTTGCATTATACTGCTCTTTAAGATTTCAACTTCTCTCCGGCATGTGTTTCAACCAATTACTTTCCTTCAACTCATCTTCAATTGATGCCTTTACTTTCTTATGAATGCACTCATGTTTTATTCAATCTTTCGTTCCATATATCCGCTACCTTACCATTCTCATTTCCTAGGCTTATTTTATATCGTGCTACTTTGCTAACTGATATTCAACCGCATTCTATAACTGGCTGTGTAGGATTTCTGTAGAATTTACTGTTCGCTAATAATGACTTTACACCTTCATATCACACCTTTATAGAAGCAGAATGAACTCAACTCACATTTATTTGACCATCTAGTAATTTTCATCGCAAATGTTTTATTCAGCTTTATTTTTTTTTTAAGTTGTCTATTTTTTTTTTTTTTTTTATAAGGCTTCCTTTTCCCTTTGATGTTGGAGAATATAACATTAGGTCAATAGCATTTTTTTTTTTTAAAATTTTTTATTGAAGAAAGTAAAAACAAGAAAATGCTCATGGCCATATATTCCCTCTCTCCTCTTTCTTGGAAATTTTGGGGCCCCGTGAATACAATGTCCTTCCTAATGGATGCTATTATTTCTTTACTGTTTTTGCAGAACTTAAGGCCTTATTTGGCAGACAGATATATTACTTTCCTTCCTATCAGATCACCACCTGTTCTTAGTATTCATGAGAATTATAATTCCACAGGTTGAAATTACTTTGTTCAATTGCCATGTTGTCTTTATATTATGTATGGGGACTATTGTGGAAAAAAAACTGACTTTATGAGTAGAGTCACTCTGTATTTTTGGAAAGTTTGATGTACAAGTTTTTTATAGGGACGCAAGAATCAGCCTTTTCACTTCAGAAAACGATTATCAGAAAAGAGCATAGACGAGAATGCCATTCTGCCATTGAAAGGATATTTGGAGATGGCCCAAGCATGAAGGGTGACTTTATTGTGATCAATTTTTTTGCATTGGTATGTCATGTTAAAAAGTTAATTTGTACATATTCTTTCAATAAGTTAACAGTATGGCCAAAATTTATATGGTTATCTCATTAGAAGGGTCACCTAATGAAGAAAATGTTTCTTTGCATACTGGGCAGGAAGGGTGGAGCCTTGCAGAACTTTTTCGTGTTCGTTGTGTGGTTGCTGCTCCTTATATTATTCCATACAGGTAGTGCAAAAATATTAGTTTATATACCTGATTTCTCTGATTTGTAACAATGGTCAACCGTAATGTTGTACCTCAAGGACTTAGCACACATGAGATCTCCAGTTTTTGTATTTACATGTCGATTAAATGAGTTATATGTGAATTTTGTGTGCTTGTGAAAGAAAGGGAACATATACATAGCTCTGAATACCTTCCAAAAAAGGACTAGATGTGGAATCTTTGGATGCATTTTCAGGTGTGTGTATGAGTTTGGAGTACTATATGGGCGACAAGAATTGGATTATATGTATATTTATATTTTTCCACCAGAGAAATGAAGAAAATTTTGTTGCTGGTACTTATCTTTTGAGACTAAAATTTTAACTGATAAACTTTTCTTGCTGTACTCACAGTGCACCCTCATCATTTGAGTGTCACTTCAAAAAAGAGTTTCCTCTTCTCTATGAATATCTCCAAGAAGCTCCAACTGATAAGGTGATTTTGACTTATAAAATTGGATTCTAAACACTGTCTGGATGATGTTTCTTAATGAAGCATTGTTAATAAGCAAAAAGTAATTCCTAATTATTACATATATTTCTTCCCCTGTAATATTCAGATTGGTTTATGATGTATGGGTTGTTTACTAATTTTTTGACCCTTGCATGAGCATAGGTTTGCTGGAAAGATGTGATCCATTGGATGTGGCCACTTTTTATGGAAAATTGGGGATCGTGGAGAAGTGATGAGTTGAATCTTAGTCCTATCCCTTTTACAGTTGGTGCTTTTGAAGATAGAATTTTGTTGTTGCTTGGACTCAATTATTCCTAGAACATTGGCCAACCAATACATTTGTTATTTTGATGCTAGAGTTCATGCCTGAAATTATTAAACGCCTTGTTCCCTGCATGTAGGATCCTGTAACAGGCCTTCCCACTTGGCATGATTGGCCACCATCTCCACTTCTCTTGTAAGTTATGTTCTCTAAACATAGAATGCTGCACAGTTATTGTCTTACATGAGCTAGAAGATAAAGGAATCTGTTCATAGGCTTGAAATTCCATTTGAAAATAGAAAATGGAATGTGCCAAGTTGACCTTAGAGTGCATGATGATAACCATCTGGGGTACTTCATTCTACTGGTAACAAAGAATAAGAAGTGATATGAACTCAAAGAAATATATTGAATGAGAATCCTTTAAGACCACTCTCCATAAATAAACATAGTTGTTAATGGAGTTGAATTTTACCAAATTTTGAGGGGTCGGTATCAATTTATGACTAATTGCTCCATATATAGTCCTTCTAACCACGTTTTCTTCAATAATCAGAGCCAATCCCAATTGATCTCTTCATAAGCATTATCTACTCTCTCTCTCTCTCTCTCTATGTGCTTCTTCTTCTTCTTCTTCTTCTTCTTCTTCTTCTGCTTCTTCTCTTTCTCTTTGTCTAACTGTCTCTCTTTTGCTTGCTAACTCAAAATAAAAAGGTTTAGATGTTTATATGTATTTCTAGTTATTGAATAACGTTGTTGAGATATAATTTTAGTCAATTTTTATGTAACAGGTATGGGTTCAGCAAAGAAATTGTTGAATGCCCAGGTAACTTTGTTTTTTCTCAACTTGTGCACTTCTTTATTATGCTTCAAGCCATGAGATTGAGATGTATATTTTTCCCTTCTATCTTCTTCTCTTTCTTGTGATCAAAAGGCTGAAGACCTGGCAAGAGTTTTATGATTCACTGATCATGTTAGTCATAATGCAATGAAACTACCAAGGGTAGCTCATAATTATAATAATTCTCTTACAGTTTTTCTGTTTAACTTACTATCTTTCAAGACAGTGCTTTCTATTTTCTGCTAGTTCTTCTTTTTTTAACTCTGTGAAAAGACTTTGTATGTTAGGGCCTTGATCTTATCACATCATACAAATCTTGATTTACTTCCTTTTCCAGTTTCTGTTTGGTCTTTCAAGGATCTTACTTAATTGCAGACTATATATCAGGATGCACCCTTTATACTTTTTAGCACATTTTAATAATTTTGTCATCTATAAATGAGGCGATCAAAGATTCCTAAGTAAAGTTCTTGCTCGTGCATCTACATATACAGATTATTGGCCATCAAAAGCTTGTGTTTGTGGGTTTTGGTTCCTCCCTATTGAATGGCAGTTTTCATGTAAGAAATGTCTACAAATTTCAGCACTTCCATCTCCTGGGAGTAATAGAACAAAAGTTGAGATATGTGCAGCTCATGTAAAGTTACAACTCTTTTTGGGGACATCAGTGCCACCTGTTTTTATAGGACTAAGTTCTGCTGGAAGGCAGGTTCCTTGCTTTCTTGGTATTTTTCTGAAAAACTATCCACTGATATCCGATTAGAAGGTACAAAAAAAAAAAAACACACTTGTGTTTGAGTGGACTTATCTCTTGAGCAATGTTTCTCTTTGATTTTGCAGCATGGGTTTTTTGGAGCACCCTGAAGCATTCCTCGGGGTTATTCAAACTGTCCTGGAGATCACAAATTTCAGATTTATCCTGTTTACTTCTGGCTATGAGCCTTTAGATGAAGCAATTCGAGTTGTTGCAACTGAATCTTTGTATTTAGATCAACAGCAGTACAGTGAAGAGGGGGTTTGTCTCTTTGATGGCCGTCTCTTCTGCTTTCCTAGGTGAGCTTTCATGATATTTTAGTTGCTAAGTTGACTGAAGAAGATTCATAGTTGATCAGGAGAAAATAGTGAAAAGATAACTGCATTTTTGCAATTTTGTTGAGATTGTAGCAGTCAAATACACGTACTACTTTCAGAAGCATACTTAGAGAATGATAAATTATATTAACACTTGCTCATTCTTTTTTGTGATGCTATTTTATGATGCACTCTTTAAAGTTCACTTACGTGGCTAGTACTGATGTGTAATCAGATACTAAGAGACAGAAAGACCAATAATTAAGTTAATAGTGCATTCATACATTGTTGCTGCATAAACCTTCCAGATCATGTCACTCTATTAGTTTCATATTCTTATGAAAGTCACTGTAGGTTACAGTCTGTAAGGACTATGGCTCTTCTGACAAAAGTGCAAAGTATGGGGTTCGGACATAACCTTGGTAACATATGACTCTAAAATGATAAAATATCAAATCCAAGAAAATATGATAATTGTTATCTTTTCTTCCTATTAAAATTAGAAGGCCCGAAGGGAAAACTTCTGATGCACCCAGGAAGACTTGGTTGCAATAGTAACATATTAAAGATTCTTAGGCTTTCATAGCAGATTCCAGATTCAGCTAGTATAAAAATACCTCTTTTGGCGTCCTGCTCGTGAAAAATGTCAGGTCTTAAAATACATTTCCATATCAAAATTTAATGTTGCATTACATTACTTGATTCATCCTGTAAAATAAAACCGTATAACCATATAGAAATGAAAATCTTCAACGAGCACCATATATGGACTCAACGGAGTAGAAAACCTGCGCTGCCAAAACCAATTATAAGGTGGAAATAACTGAAAACATTTTTTTTTTCTCCATAGCTGCATGATTGTGGTAATATTATTTGTCTTTGTAAATTGATGTCTTCTATGTGTTAAACAGTATGGTACCATACAGTTGGCTGTTTCAAAGATGTCTGGCTGCCGTTCATCATGGGGGCAGGTGAATATTCTATTTTGTTTCATTTTGACATTATTATATGTACACCATGCAGCATAGCTAATTATTTCCTTCGTCTTCAATGGTAAATCAGTGGATCCACTGCTGCAGCATTATATGCCGGAATTCCACAGGTTTGTTGTAAGCTAAAACTCATTTTACTTTATCTTCATCATTCTACATCCATCGAACATGTGAACTTTTTTTTTTTTTTCAAAATTTTGCATTGTGTTTCAAAATTAGCAAGTTAGGCAACTTATTCAGGACTTCAATGGCAGGTGTTATGCCCATTTATGTTGGATCAATTTTATTGGGCTGAGCGAATGCATTGGCTTGGAGTTGCCCCAGAACCATTGAAAAGAAACCATTTGGTTCCCGACAAAATGGATGATTTGAGAATCAGGATAGCTGCAAATGTTCTATCAAGAGCCATAGCTTATGCATTGTCTCCCGAAGTTAAAACACGTGCTCTAGAAATTGCTGAAAGAATCTCCCCCGAGGTAATGTCTATTTTTGAATGAAGTAGTTAATTAGTGCTTAAAAGATGACATCTTGGGTTATTTTATGCAATAATTCATTAATTGTTCTCATCCTTGCTTTGAATATTGTTGGTTTATATGTAATATAAAACTCGAACAATCCAATGCTAACATCCATATTTTGTTCGAACTTGCAGGATGGAGTCATGGAAGCTGTGAAGATTCTTAAGCAACAGATTGATTGCTCAAATTAGATACTCATCGGACTTTCGAAGATAACCCTATTTCTGTAAAAGGAAACATTGATGAACATGTGCCTAATGAAATCCAATTAAGAGACAATGTTATAAATTACAACAAAATGCACTGTACGATTGACAAGTGTTTGCTTCTTCCTGCCTTCCCTACAACCTTGGAACCTCATAGTCAAATATTCAAATATCCCCTACTTTGTCCCAGTTCTGTTAGCCATCTCTTGAACTATTGACAGTCACAGATCTGTTCACTAGTTGCTTAAATATAAGCATAAAAATAAAAACTGAACCCAATAAGGTGTTGGTTTGGGTGGTAAGTGAACTCAATTTCCGTAAAGGTGAGAGTACAAGTTCAAATCCCGGGAAACAAACTTTGCTGAGAGTGCTAAAAACTTACATCTTCTTGATCAAACTGAGTACTGCCTCTGAATTATCCCAACGTCAAGTCCCTTGAGTTTCACTTTTGATTCAACTTGACCCTTGAGTGTATGAAGCTCCCTTAGCCTAGTAGCCAAAAAGAGCACATCAGTTAGAACTGTTCATTGAAATAGCTAGCCCACACTCAAGCCAAGCTTGTTTGCATCAAAGTTACAATGGGTTTGAAAATACATGCTCAAATTCAAAAAAATGTTTTTCCAAATTGTCTTTCTGAATATCAAAAAATAAACTAAGTTCCTCAGGAAGCCACGAAAGAAAAAGAAAAAGAAATATGAAATTTTATTTTCAAGAAATGCCCTCCTCCAATTATATAATTACCTACCTAGCTGTTTCTGCACGCTTCTTGCCCCTCTCAAGAATCTCAGACAACTCATTATAATTCTCATCTTCAAATAACATTGCAACTTCATGAGGCTGCAAGCCATCAAGTGTACGTTGAGCAATTTCTATGCGTTCAAGAACTGATATTTTCTGTTGTTTTCTTGGAAATCTAGAAAACAACACACCAATTGCAAATATTACAGGCCAAACTGATATTTTGATAGGATTAGCAGACAAAAGGACATAAACAATAGTTGCAAAAACAAACTGGAAAATAGCACAAACTAATCCAACAACATCAGCAAATGTTCCTAAAGGCTTGAAGCTTGGATATGGAGAGTAAAACCAGGGTTTAAGGCCTCTAATCATCCATCTAACCCTTTCTTTTTTACCTAATCGAACAAGATCAAGAATGGAGACCAGCATGATTGCTGAAGACATAATCATGCTAATTAGTGCATATCTAGGCTTATGCTCTGCTGATAACTGATCAAGAACAGCTGATGGAAGCTCCAAAACAAGATTTGTGATGATAAAAATCCTTTCTACTGTTATATTCTGTTCAGAAAAATTAAGAACTGGTAGTTGTAGCAAGAAATTAGATGGTCTAATTTGAAAAAAAAAATTGAAACTTTAAAAAAGTAAATTACCCTTTGATTGAAGCCATTTCCCCTATTTTGTCTCTCTTCAGTTTCCATTGTCTTATTTCAAAAGAGATGATTTTGTTGGTAGAAAACAAAACAAACAAATATTTTTGCAGTTGACTAATTGTTTCCTTTTGTACCCTTTTCATTAATTCAAGCCACTAGCAGTGGACCCTACAGGAGAGCAAATCTCAAATTTAGCCCTATATTATTTTATTTTTTTTAACCCTTATAGAATGTCACCTAAAACGAGTCTTGCCATTTGAGCCATTTCGTTAAAACGAGTCTTGCCATTGCAAATGGCTAGCAAGTAGCAACATTTAAGCTGTGTTTTTTATCCGCAATAAAATGTAAGGTCTTTTTAGTAAATGTTGACAAATGAATTATGGCCCGATCAAATGAAGGTTGTCCTGCTGTGCTGTGCCCCGCCAAATGGGATCCACACAATTTGAAAAGATAAAAAAAAAAAAAAGGACACATTTTTTTTTTTCTTTCAAAGATTGGCATGCCAACAATTCAAAGATTGACATGCCATTTGACAAAACGGAAAGCCGTGCATTAGTAATGCACGTCTCCCTCAAATGCTCTCTCATAATCTGTCTATAAATAGAGACAGAGGCAGAACACACAATGCATATAGCAGAAGAAAAAAAAAATGTAGAGAGAGAGTTTATCTAGTTTTAGGAAGGGTTTCTTAAAACTTGGGGAGAGAAAAATAGTGAAAAAATTATTATGGGGTGTTTTTGAGAAACACTTTGTGTGCCACTATCTTTTGTATTACTCTCTTTGTGTACCTACTAAACGCAGTCTTGCCATTTGAGCCATTTCCGTTAAAACGAGTCTTTGCCATTTGCAAATGGCTTAGCAAGTAGCAACAATTTTAAGCTTGTGTTTTTTATCCGGCAATAAAATGTTAAGGGTCTTTTTAGTAATGTTGGACAAATGAATTATGCCCGATCAAAATGAAGCGTTTCCTTGCTGTGCTGATGCCCCGCCAAATGGGATCCACACAATTTGAAAAGATAAAAAAAAAAAAAAGGACACCATTTTTTTCTTCAAAGATTGGCATGCCAACAATCAAGATTGACATTGCCATTTGACAAAACGGGAAAGCCGTGCATTAGTAACACTCCCCCAAATGCTCTCTCATAATCTGTCTATTAATAGAGGAACAGAGGTCAACACACAATGCATTATAGCAGAAGAAAAAAAAAATGTAGAGAGAGAGTTTATCTAGGATTTTAGGGAAGGTTCAAAACTTGGGAGAGAAAAATAGTGAAAAAATTATTATGGGGTGTTTTTGAGAAGAAAACACTTTTGTGTGCCAGAAACACTTTGTGTGCCACTATCTTTTGTATTACTCTCTTTGTGTACCTACTATTTTTAATAGTGGAAGAATGATTCGGAGTTTATCTCGTGGACGTAGCTCTAATCAGTTGAAGGTGAGCCACGTAAATTTCTGTGTCACAAGTTTATTTTTCGCTGCGTTAATTTCTCTTAATTGGTTGAAAGGGTCCAACGAATGATATCAGAGCTGATACCCAATAACCGGTATAAGAGCTGACGCATAACAAGTCCAAGTCAAAGCCTTTCATCGACGATTCAAAATGCACTGCCTCGAAGCAGCTCCTCTAACCTCATAACCAAAAAAGAGCATAGCAATTAAGATACAATTATGAAAGCCCATTGATGAAATTTTGCAAGCCCTCAAAGAGAAAAGCCCAACACTCACAAATTGAAGGCCCAAGATGATGATGAAGCCCATGAGTCCAAAATTCTATCAATGTATATGATGTAAATGATACAAATATCATGATTGTTTAACAGCAGGTATAACAGTTAACATGCAATAATGATAAACATCATGGTGAGAGCATTACGAAGGACAAACTATCAATCGACAAAATTGAAATTAGTCAATTTTCTCATTTGGCCTAACTAAAAAAATTAGTCAATTTTCAGTATTGGACTAATTTAATTAATTAAACGTGGAGAACTGAAATTGCGTCTATCGTATGGTAGAAAATTTGATTTAGCTTGTTGAAAGAGGTGCCCATACTCTACAAAGTCCAAATTATTAATTAAAAAAGGAACTTAGGTGGGTTGTTAAGCTTAATTAGTGGAATGAAAAGTTATAGCAGTTGGAATTAGTAGCATAGAAGATTACATTTTTCAACTGCTTCATTTCTTGAATTACATTAAGTATAGCAACAATGGGTTCCTTTTCAATGTTTTGCTTCAGAAAACACGTTTATTTAACATTTTGGGAACTACTTTTAAAATTTAATATTCTTCTATCACTCTCGTGAAATTCAAATTTTATACATTCATATGCGTGATTTAACGGTAAATATGTCCATTAGGTGATGGTATGATTGATCTTTCTATTTCTATAAGGAATGAGAAGTTTCAAGTACTCTCGAAAGCTTCCTATGAGTTATGTACCAACAAAAAAAAAAAAAAAAAAATACCAACAAAAAAAAAAAAAAAAAAATCAAAAAACTTGTTAATTTCTGATGAAAAAAAAAAAAAAAAAAAAATCAAAACTTGTTAATTTTCTGATGTAACAAATACTCAAGGAAAAGAAAAGTACTTACAAAGTATGTGAGTTATTAAATTTAAAATTATATTGAAATAAGTACAATTATTAATAATATATGTAAAATTTTAAATATAAAATAGTTGAGAAGTTGTTTTCTATATAAATGAGAACACTTTAACTGCCACATCCAACTATATGCTACACCTCTTAGTGTGAAGAGGATATGAGTGTCACATGGACAGAAACTTGATATTAGTTTTGAAACTTTTATAGAAATGAGATGGGCATGATTTACCAATTGGTGCAATATAGAGAAACCTACCCATTTCTATACCTTAATTAGCAAATGAACTCAAAAAAAAAAAAAAAATCATATATTGGCATTTTAATATTTATTTATGAGAAAATATTCAAAACCTATATAATAGGAAATATAATGATTTCTTACTAAAATATAAAAGAATGTCCCTAGTCTAGAAAGAGATCATTTGAATCTTCCCCTAAAGACACAAAAAAGGAAAAAGAAACATAGATTTAGTCAAAATATTAAATCTCAACTACTTTTTTATAAATTAAAAATAAATTAGGAATATAAACTGTGGTTTGATTGATCTTCTCATTTATAGGAGAAACGAGAGATTTTGAATTTGAATCTTATCGGCTATAATAATTTTCATCAATTTAGTAGAAGAAGGAAAAAGTATTCATGTTATTATATAGTTCGTATTGTTATTTCAATTTATTAAACTTCTTATTAAATAAATAAAAATGAAATATGAAAAAAAAAAAAAAAGACTAATTGAAATCTTTTCTGAAACTACCCAATATTGTCCATGTCCATTATTGTCAGACACACATAATGAGAGTACTGACCAAACCCATTAATCTTTATGTCTATATCTTTCAATAACAAAGACCCCACCACCATCACTTCAACAACCCCATTAAAAAGCCCTACAATTCTCTTCTCTCCCTCACTAAACACTGTCTCACTTGCAAAACTCTACATCTCCATCTCTTTAGTTGGAAAATTTTGTTCTGTTAGATTGTGAAGAAAATGGAAAAGGGAAGAGGCAGTGCAATGTTGGGAATGGTCTTGGTTTCCATTTTGGCGGTTCAATTAGAGATGGCTAATGCTGCAATTTATATTGTTGGAGGCTCTAATGGTTGGACTTTTAATGTTGCTGGCTGGCCTAAAGGAAAAAGCTTTAAGGCTGGTGATGTACTTGGTATGTCTAATTTGCTATATTCTTCTCTTACTTCCCTTGTCAATTAATCTTAATTACCCTTGTCAAGTCAATTCCTCTTGTTTTGTTTCCAAGATTAAAAGAATCATTTCAATGGCATGAGTCCTCTCTCTCTCTCTCTCTCTCTCTATATATATATATATATATATTGATTATTGACAGTTTTCTGTTTAAAATTGTAGTATTCAACTATGCTCAAGCAGCCCACAATGTGGTAGCAGTGAACAAAGCAGGATACACATCTTGCAATCCACCCAAGGGAGCTAAAACTTACACTTCAGGCAAGGACAGAATTAAGCTTGTGAAGGGACAAAACTTCTTCATCTGCAGTTTTCCTGGCCATTGTCAAGGTGGAATGAAAATTGCAGTCACTGCCATGTAATTTGTGACCTTGGATTTTGTGTTTTCTATCTCCTATGTAATTTTAGGCTTTCATGTTTAATAGGTCACTAAACTGTCTGTGTTACTTTATTTTTGTGTACGTTGGCCTGTGGTGGTTGGCTAGCCAGCCTTACAAATAAAATTAGCTCCTTATCTAGTACTATAAAGTATTATTTATTTTTGCCTCATAAATAAATTAACTTGTAAAGGAATTTAAATATGGTAAATAGAATATGTTAATTAATTCCCTCGATATGTAAAGTGTAAAAATTTTTTTATAATCTGAATAAGTGCGTTTATCTCATTGTTATGAGAATTAAGTGGGTTTATTAGCTAACCAATATATAGTTAGTAATAATTACTTTGAAGAAATAAAAAATAAAAACAAAATGGCAAAAAATTATTTCAATTTGTTAAGGAAAAATGGCAAATGCAAATATTTCTTTCTTCATTTCTTTTATGACCTGATCAAAATTTAAAAACTTTCCTTATAAATCATAGAATTAATATTAATTCTCCAAAATATTTATCTTCAGATGTCTATAAATGGCAGTGGCAAGCAAGCATAATGCTTTCAGGAATCCAAAGCCTAGCTGAACTATAAGTGCCAATTGTATACTGTGAAGCAAGTAGAAACATGATGATTTCAAACTTTTCTTTAAACATGCCAAAGCCAACATATATATCATTACACACACAAAGTAAAAGTTTTAAAAGAGAGAGGTGCAAAAAAGGGAAACAAAAACATGGAATATATGGATTTGCTTTTTTACTTGGTTGACTTGCACATTTTTGTACAGCAATCACAAAAGTTTTTTTGCAACTATCAATCTCTTGTCCTATATATCTTCTCATAATTTTGAAATCTCTATCACAGATTCTTTCCTGATAGCAATATGATTTTGTCTCATCTGTTGATAAAGCTGAGATTATCTAAATATAAAAAGTTGAATTTGAATTTTTAGTTAATTAACCTTACTAGCTAAAAAGGAAAAAAAAAAGAAAAAAGAAAAAACTGTCGATAATCTTTAGTCCTAATCTTTTCTAATTATATTATAAAGATTCAAGTATAAGCATGCATGGTGGTTTTATTTGTGTTTGTGTTTGTGTTTGTGTCTGTGTCTATATATATATATATATATATATTTCATGCTTTGATAAGGTCAAGCAATGATGCAAGAAAAAGAGAGAGAGAGAAATCTTGATAGTTTTGTGTATGAATGTGTGTATAAACACATAGACACACACACACAGAGAGCATGTAGCTTCAATAATAATTTTCTGACAGAAGGGTTTGAAATAATTAATCTTGTAAGGGTTTCTCATGGGAGAAATTTACACAGCCAGTTTGACATGCTGGCCACCTCCAAGAATTATATCAAGTGGAAAGTAAAAACCTCTTAAAAGGAGGTGGACAGAATGCCAAAATGGCTCTGCAACAAAGCCCTGAGAAACAAACCCTAAGAGAGATATCTGAAGCTTGAAGAAGAGGCAGATAAGTTTAGTTTACTAAGGACAAAGAGGTTAATGTTGAAATTGGAGAACCTTTAAAAGGCTTTTGAAACAGAAAAAGAGCAACTTTATGTAGAGAGAGGGGATGCATATGCATGAGCGTGCATGGTGTTTGTACGACTAGTTAGATAAATATTTTTGGTGGGCGTCACTTTTCATAATTAGGTCACTTTTATTGTAACTCTGTATACATTAATCACTTGTTTTGATTTAGGTTTGTAAATTGAAGACAAGGTTACCCATATTTATGGTTGAATATAAAATCAAAATTTAAAAAAAGTTCTTTTTTTGAGTGGATGTGTTAGTTCGAATCCTCTTGATTACAAAAGTTCTCATCAGTCATGTAAGTTAAAAAAATTTTCATCAATTTAACAAGTCAAAAAGAGAGTTTTCCTATTGTGTAGCTCATCATGTCATTTCGGCTCAACTGAGCCTCCTAATGAATAAGAAAAAAGTTCAATCTTCTTTTACATATGTTTTTCCTCTTAAATTAAAGATGAGATTCAGTATAAGGGACAGAGGGAGAATATAGGATCGAAGAACTCGAAGTCTAGCCACTATGAAAGTGATAGGAGAGCCATACCATTGAACTTTGACCTAATCCTCAAAATATTTTCAATAATAGCGACTCCAAGATTTTAAACCCAAATATTGCAGTAAAAGCTAAGATTTTGTTGCTTAGCTTTATGCTTGGTTGGAAGGAAATGACTTTTAGTTGACTATTTTGAGGGTAATGAACAATGAAACCTAATTATAAAATTGATGACTTGCATATTCAATTGGAATTGCTTTTTGACTTTGATGTGAAAAGTAAAAGCTAAATGGGCTGTTTTTGTCTTCCACTTCATACTTTAATTACTTTGTCAACTCATAATTCTTTGGGTCAAACTTCCCTATTAATTTGGCGGCAATTAGAATTATGCTAGTTTAATTCTATACGTAATCCTTTTGATTATATCCATTATGTTCTATTATATTTTCTTAATAATGTTTTCACGGTGATTGTTTTGTCTATAAATATAAAATATTTAAGTATTTTAAAGAGTAATAAATGATATTTTTTCAATTTTACTCTTATTTATATTAGATATAATAGTTATTTTCACGAGTATTTAAAATTATTTGTATCATCTTTATTGCAGTACGTGGATAATTTTAACATTGAATAAACAGTAAATTGAGTAAATGATATATAACGAGGAAAATGAACCAATCAACTCATTATAAAGCGTAAATTATTAAATACTTTGATAATAAATTTGATTAATTATTCTCAAGGTCTAGATTCTTAACAATCTTTCTATTTCTTTATTATTAGATAGAATTGTTGAAAATTAATATCGGAGTAATGATGTGAATTAAATGATAATTTGATCAAATTATTTTTGATTTTATTATAATTTAAGAGAATTAATTATTTTTTTAATCTCTATGTAGAAACATTAAACAATTTGCATTTAGAATCAAGGAAGTAGTTTGTAATTTTCAGCCAAAATACTTCCTCAAAAGCAATTTCATTTTTGAAGAAAGAGATAAAAAAAAAAGGCATATGGTATAAATTTTCATATTTTAAATGAGTATTCAATTTTTCAGAAATGAAAATTGAAATTTTAATAGTTGACATTTTTGTTGAAAATATTGTAAATCACATGTATGCATACATATTAAATTCCAAGTCAATAAAGACATTTGTTCTAAAATAATATTTATGGTTTGAGATAAAATAGGAAATAAAACTCACCAGAAATATACAAAATATAAAATTTATGATATAACAAGCTATATTAACAAACCATATATATAACAAGTTGAAAGAAAAATTTTTTTCTCAAAAAAAGCAACATATAATTATGTGATTATAGACTTTAGTAAAAAGTAAAAAAATAAAATAAAATTATTAGTAACGAGTCTATTGTTCATGTTTTTATTAATAAAAAATTTATTAGTATCACATTATATGAATTTATAAATGGCAGATTTTTGTGTTGCATTTCATGAATTTATTAAATTTTCAAATAAAAAATAAATTTTCAAATAAGAGATTAAATAACTCAAAAGGTCAACAAAACCTACTGATATCGGTTTCCAGAAATACATGTAAAATGATATAGAAATAGCAAATTCTTTACCGTGATAAAATAAAAGCATTACTAATAAATATTTGATTTATTTTTATTAAAGGAAAATTACCATTTAATTCTCGAGATATGATATGGTTTATTTTAAATATACACTAATTTAGGAGATGGCCACTGTTCTCTCTATATACACACACACACTGGCCAAGCTACACCAGTTACTAAAGTATATAAATCTGCACTTACTATTTACCCACTTGATTTGGGAGAGAATTGTTTCATAACTGATAAAAAGTTAGCTTGTAGACTTGGTATGAAAATGGCAATCACTCCCAAGCGCCCATTGCCGTGAAGATCATGCACGAAAAACATTGAATAAGCAATTCAATAAGAGATCTCAAATCGCATCGATATGATTTAATCCCGGATCTTTGAAATTAGAATAAGTTCTGCAGTTACTATTATGAACATGTACTAAAGACCAAGCTATTATGAAAATCTATCAGTTCTTCCATTTTGAAAACCATGCTATACATTATCGATAATAGCTGCGCTGTAGCTATACAAATTGGTTTTGATAATCAAACACGAAAAAAATTAGAAATTACAGAGCATATTTCTGGATTTTTATAAAATGTGTTGCAGTACAATCAGGAGAATGTATCAGATAGTTCAGACAAATATGACAAACAAGACATAAATTATATTTAAATCATCCTAATCTTGATCACAATCCCTAAACTTTACAAATTTTCTTCTTTTCTTATTATTCTATATTTCACTAGCTAGAAATCTTACATTGACTTAGTAATTATACTATACAACATCTGGGAGAAGAAGATACGATAATGTGCATTCTATCCCTTAAAGCAAGCACTACTTTGATCTAAGGTAAGAATTTGCGTCACTGACCTTGCTATGTGGAACTAACCAACAGAGGAAGTCCAGACAAACAATCTCATGCATCTTCAAAATCAAATTGGGAAAAATAGGTTATGATGTTTCATCTAAAGGACTATCGTCTTGAACTAATTTCTCAACTGGATTCTCCTCAGCCCACATGGCTGCATCTGAGTATCCGAGCTCAAAGAGCCTGTCAAGAATACCATCTTCTGCTGGCTCCAATGCCCATTTGAAAAGCTGGAACGATTTAGAATGCATGTGAGTCAGTTTATCCTCAAAAGTAGACATATATATATATATATATATATATACCAATCGACTGCTGGGAAAGCCAACTCCGGGACCTACATCTTGAGCAAAAAAAAAAAAAAAAAAAACATCAAGAGTGAGATTTTGCCAATCTTCAGATCCCTAAACTAATTGCATCAAACAAGTTTTATGGAATGAAGAAAAAATGAAACATATGTCATCCTTAAGACATAAATGGCTACTAAAAAAACAACAGTAGGATGCCTAAAATGCCACCCAAATGCTAAATCTATTAAATGCTACTCCAAAGCCACTTTCAAGATAAACAAGTGAGCCAACACGATACAATGTGAAGAGCCTATTTCAAAGTACATAACTTAATGAAGCAAAAAAGCACGAGTTGATTCCACGAGAAGCAACAGAAAGAATAAAAAAAAAAAAGTGCAAGAAAGATGGGAAACAGAAGCATTTAGTTACTGTAGAACAATAGATATGAAGTGGAAAACAGAGGGTGGGAAAGGTGCTTAAGATTATTGCTCACACCCAATTAAGACACTTCTAGTTTATTTGGCAATCCCATATCTGATTCTACGGAACACTATTACCTAGCCCCACAAAAATTGAAGGTTATTTTATTCCACTCATTCTATTCTCTTCTATATTTTTCTCCCACTGGAACTAGTTGACATGGAGACTTGTTTTATTGTGTAAATAGCAAATAAAGTTCTGAAAAATGAGCTTTAATTTTTGAATAATCATTCAGTTGTAAGACTTGGTGCGCATAATACTGTTCTGGCTCATTTCAAATGTCTCCATTAAAAGAAATATCACCAATTCACTACACTTCTTATGTATTGTATGACTTCATTTGAACAAGTATAGCTTAGTGATCAAGCGACCAATTCCTAAGAATTCCTCAGCTCACCAACAAAATGCAAAAGTAAGGATTATACAAAAAAAAGCAGCAAGGTAAGGCTTCAACTGATCTTATGTCTTATTAAGTGCATAGATATTTATTGCAATGTCCAGAGGAAAAATATCTCTAGCACTTACCGTATGAGCAGCAGATGTTGGAGGCATAAACAATGTCAAACCCCCATCGATGCAAAGACGGTTTCGGAAAATTGTTGCAGGTCTTGGGGCAAGATATCTGCAATTTCATCATATTTGCACTGGTTTTACTTCTAGTTCAATGTTATTAAATAAACTAACAGTTATTGTAAGTAAAGTGATAAATAAACTGTTCACCCTGGAATAAATGAAGAAGTGAAAACTGCATTTATGAGATCTTCCTTAGAATCAAATTGATCCACTAATAAACCCCTGGGCCTCCATGAAATCTGAGTTACAGCAACTGTGACATGACAGACTATATTAAAAGAATGCAAGAGCAAACCACCAAAATGAACCAAATATCCAAATGAAATATCTTCGAACTCTCAAATGAATTCCATAATCATTGGCATAAGCACAGGGGGAAATAAAATTATATAAAAATGGAAAGAATAGATCAAATTAACCAAGATAGATGCAAATTGTAAATAAATCATCTAACACCAAAATGAACGTGCATGTTAAGAACAACTTAATTTAGTTCCATCCATTCACATTCATTTAAGTTTTTCCATCTTCAAGCATATGTACTTCTGTCATCACATCTACCTCACTACATATTCATCTAATTAAACCAGGCACATGTGCAACTGTACAAAGTAATAAATATGTCCAACTAGCAAGCCTTCCCAACATGATGCATGTTTTATCATAGGGGAGAAAAGAAAATCACGCCTACCACGAACCCTCCCACTGGACCTAATATGCACATCATCTGGTAGAAACTTTTCCAGAACATCTCGGAGAACAGCCTGTGAAAAAGAAGTATCAGATTAATACTAAAACTATAATGGTTTTTTCCCCAAACCATACAAAATATCTTAATTGGTTCTTTCTTTGCCAAAAATTTTACAGCTCAAAAACCCACATAAAACTTCATGCAATACAAAAAAATAAACTTATTCTTCTTAGCATATAAGAATTCCCTGAAAGCATTTTATTTTTACATCAAAAGAAAAATTGTTTCAGAAGTAGGAAACAGAGATATGCTATTACATTAGTTCATAAAATTTTATATATCATGCCCTAATTTAGACATTCGTTGTCCATAAGAAAACCAAAGAGGGATACTAGCCTGCAGAAATTAAGAATGAAAACTTCCAGTATAAGAAAATTTCAGCACCAGACTAGAAATTTACCCCAAGTCGAAATGCAGTCCCTCTTAGCCGGCAGTCTTCAGCTAATATTTTAGTAGCTTGTAGGGCCTCCTGCATACTAGCTCCAGAGGCAATCACGGCACACACTATAGCCCCAGCAGAGGAACCAGCCAGTGGAGTGGTTTCCTGTGTCAGATATACATATAAGAAAACAACATTTTATTTGAAATTTTCTCAGAGAAACATTAATGCATCAATAATAGATTAAAATTAGGGGAACTTTTTACTTGCAAGGAAATACCACTTGCTGTATTTACATCAGGTTTCATATTGTTTTCAGCACGTGGCATGAAATTTTAGTAAACAAAAGCAACTATCTTTTGTTTGAATACACAACTAAAGTGATGCAAAAGATAAACAAATGCAAGTAGTCCAAGCACAAGAACAGTAAAAGAAAAGTACCCAACCAACATGAAAGTTATCACGGATGGTAACTTTCAACTGAAAACAAGTGTGATTTACACATAATATAGCCCACAAAAGCTTCGTACAAATTCCAGTTAAAAATTGAGCTGGTTAAGATATCATCTACACAGATAATGTGGATAAAGGAAAATTTTCTCAAAATACAAGCCAAATGCAAGTCAAGCTGTCCAAATTTTTGGCAAATATCATCAACTCAAAATGCCAAACTAGAAACTGCAACCCACAGAACCATACCCATCAAAATAGAATATTGAAAACCTTTTAAGCAAAATCAAAAACCAAAATTGCTGAAGTACACTTTCCCAATTCAAAAGCCCTAAACCTTACTCGGAAAAATTGTCAGTAAAAAACGAAGATTGACTAATCAAATATAAAGAACCAGACCTTAATGTAGCCCTTTTCAATGAGCAATTGAGAAACACCAAGATGATAAGGAAACAACAATCCAGCAGCAGAAAAACTAAACCCAGGACTTGTAATTACACGCCGTTCTTTCTCAGCCTCAATATCCTTAACCCTCTGTTCCCAAATAACATCCGGCTCTATCTCATCCTCCATTACCGCTCCTATCCTTTCTTCATAATCCACATCACCACTCTCTTTCCCATTCGATTTTTCAAACAAAGAAATCCCAGAAGAAGAAAAACTCCCATTTTTACTTCTACTACCACTTTTCAACAATCTCGAAGCAATTCCCAAAAAAAGCTCTCCTGTGGCAACAGCAAAAGACTTCTTCTCGGCCGGCACCGGCTGTTGAGGAGGTGGTGGGTATGTAATTTTATTGTTATTAGAAGAAGAGCTTTTAACGGAAAGATTTAGGGATTGTGAGCGGTGGGTGAGATATGGGCTGGGGTTAGGAGAATGGAAAGGGACAGAGGTGGATTGAGAGTGAGGGAGGAGAGAGGAGAGAGAAGGAGCCATAGGAAATGGTGAAGAGGAAGAAGAAGAAGGTGAGGGCCTGTTTGATTTCTTGATGAAGAACATTCTTAAAAGGAAATGAAAAAAGACTTTCTGTCATTATCTAAGTGGATTTTGTGTGCGTCTTTGTTATGGAAAATTGTTAATTATTATCATTTTCCTTTTTCTAATTGTGTTTTTGCCAGGAGAGAGAAAGTGAGAAGTTAGTTTGTGTTTTGTTTGTTTTTGGGGCCAACCGAAAACTAAAAAATACTAAGAAAATAGAAATTGATTTTCATTTGTACAAATTTAAATGGCCATCAATTGTAAATGTTCGTTTTATAAAATATTTTTTAATATTATCCGTAAATTTTTTATCATGAGAATAATCTCATTTAAATAAAATATTTTTATAAAATGAAATATTATTTATAGTTCAATCCAAAAATCTCTCAAAATGATGTTATACGTTGCCAATAACAGCTACGGGTGAGCAACTCGGTTCGGTTCACTAAAGCCAAAAAATATAAATTGAAATTTTAACAACATACCGAAACGAATCGAAATTGATATCTAAACCGAGCAAATCTATTCTATCGCTTTTAGTCGTTTTTGCTATGTCGATTCAATTTTAAGCCTAACCGATAAATTTCTGGAAAATCAATTTGAACCGAACAATAAATTTGATTCAAGCCGAGTAAATCACCTCCCTTAAATATCTGACCGAAATGAGTCAATTCGGTGCTCGATCGGTAGGTGGTTTTACACAGCCCCCTAATAATAGCTGCACTGTAACTATACAAATCAGTTTTGAAAACCGAAACAACAATGACTAACCATTAGTCTCGAAATAGTATCGAAACGATACATTCCTGAAATTTACAATTTGTACTTTTCCTTTTCTTATTATTGTATTTCACTTGCTAGATATCTTACATTGATTTAGCTAATTGCACTGTTTTGATATGAGGTGGTGAGAATTTCACACGACTGATATGCTATTTAGAAGAATTTTAGATGGCCAGAAAGGACTACTCGTACCGGAATCTCATGCATCTTTAAAATCAAATTGGGAATCATCCAAAGCCAAAGGACTATCATCTCGAACTACTTTCTCAACGGGATTCTCATCAGCCCACATGGCTGCATCTGAGTATCCTCGCTCAAAAACCCTGTCAAGAAGACTATCTTCTGTTGGCATCAATGACCAGTTGAAAAGCTGGAATGATTTGTAACCCTAGTTCATTAGCTTATCCTCAAAAGTAGACATATATCTAAAAGCTAGCATACCTCTACTGGACTAGCTCTAGTTTCAGGATTACAGTCCGGACTAATCCCAATTCCTTGCAGTCCCAAAAGACCGAATGGGAAAGCACACACCCGGACCTACAAGATAACATGTGAGTAGGCACTAGAATCGCCCAAAGAAATGACATATTTGTTTAGTATGACATTCAGGAGAAAGGATGGGGAAACCGTATCCAGTAAAGAAACATCAAGAGTGAGATCATGCCACTTCTTATATTTGTCTAACTTCAATTGGACAAAGAAAGCTTAGTGATCAAGTGACCCATTCCCAAGAATTCCTCAACTCACCAACAAGATACAAAAACAAAAAGTAAAAAAGCTTCAACCGATTTTATGCCTAATAAAGTGCAGAAATATTCACTGAAATATACACAGTAAAAATATCTCAAGCACTCACTGTATGAGCAGCAGATGTTGGTGACATACACAATGTCTAACCCCCATCAATGCAAAGACGGTTTCGGAACATTGTGGCAGGTCTTGGTGCAAGATATCTGCAATTTCATCCTAGTTGCCCTGGATTTTATTTCTAGTTCAATGCTATTAGAAAGGTAAAAAGTAATGCAAGGTAAAATGATATATAAACTATTCACCCTGGAAGAAATGAAGAAGTGAAAAGTGCATTTATGAGATCTTCCTTAGAGTCAAATTGATCCACTAATAAACTGCCGGGCCTCCACGAGATCTGAGTTACAGCAACTGTGATAGGACAGACTATTTTAAAAGAGTGCAAGTGCATACCAACAAAAAGAATCAGATATCCAAATCAAGCACATTTGAATTCTCAAATGAGTTCTATAATCATAAGCACAAGGGAAAATAATATGTTGAAATGGAAACAACAGATAAAATTAACTAAGATAGACCCAAATCGCAAATAAACCTTCTATCCTCAACAGTGAGAAAATTATGCATATAATTAACAAATAAACTATGTATTTAGAATTGGTATCGAAGTAATAATAAAACATTGAAAGTTGAGGGCATGTTAAGAACAACTTAATTTAGTTCCACTCTTCCCCACCCATCTAAGTTTTTCAATCGTAATACTTGTGGACTTCTGCCATCACATCTACATCCCTACAGATTCATCCAATCAAACCAAGCACTTGTATTTATGTGCAGTGCAGACACATATCCAACCATCCGAACTTGCAAAGTAATGAATATCTCCAACTAGCAAGCCTTCCCAACATGGTGCAAAGGTTTTATCACAGGGGAGAAAATAAAATCAGACTAACCGTGAACCTCCCACTGGTCCTAATATGTCCATCATCTGGTAGAAGCCTTTCAAGAGCATCCAGAAGAACATCCTGCTAAAAATAAATATCAGATTAGGACTAAAATCTCCATATGGTTTTCTCTACAAAAGCACACAAGAAATCTTAATTTGTCATTTCTTTGCCACAAATTTTACTGCTAAAACCCACATAAAATTATGCAATGCATGAAACTTCACACCATACCAAAAATAAATTTATTATTCCTGGCATATATGCATTCCCTGCATGTTCTTTTTTTCCTATCAGAAGACAAATTGTTTCAGAAGTAGAAACTGATATCCCATTAGTTTAATAATCATGCTTCAATTTATATATTCATTGTCGGTAATAGAAGAAAAGGTGCATTACTAGTCTGGAGAAATTAAGAATGAAAACTTCCACTATAAAAAGAAATTTCTGCACCAAACCATTGCAATAAAAATTTACCCCAAGTTGTGCAGCCCCCTTAGCCGGCAGTCTTCACCGGCTATTTTAGTAGCTTTTAGGGCCTCCTCCATGCTAACTCCAGAGGCAATCAATGCACAAGCTATAGCACCAGCAGAGGAACCAGCCAAGGGAGTGGTTTCCTGTGTCAGATATATATATAAGAAAACATTTTATTTGAAAATTTCTTATAGAAGCATTGATGTATGAATAATAGATTAAAATGAGGGGAAGTTTTAGTTGCAAGGTAATACCATTTCTGTATTTACAGCAAGTTTCATATCGTTTTGAATATGTGACATGACTCTTCAGTAAACAAACGCAACTATCTTTTGTTTGAATACATGACTAAAGTGATGTAAAGATCATCAAATGCACATGGTCCAAGCATAAGAAGAGCAAAAGAAGAGTGCCCAACCCACATAAAGTTATCATGGACAGAAATATTCTACTGAAAACATGAATACTTGTGATTTATAAGTAATAGCTCGCAGAAGCTGGGGACAAATTCCAGTAAAAAATACACAGCTGATGTGGATAAAGGAAACAGGACATATATCCATCAAATTAGATTATTGAAAAACCTTTGAAGCAAATTAAAAGTACAAACTGGCTAAAATGGCACTTTTCAGATCTGAAAAAAAAAAAAAAAAAAAAAAGATAAAATTCAAAGCCCTATTTTAGTTGGAATATTAGAAATTGTCACTAAAAATGAAAATTGACTACACAAAAGAAAAAAAATTAAAGAAAAAGACCTTAATGTAACCCTTTTCAATAAGCAATTGAGAAACACCAAGATGATAAGGTAACAACCATCCAGCTGCAGAAAAACTAAACCCAGGATTTGTAACTACACGCCGTTCTTTCTCAGCCTCAATATCCTTAACCGCTCCATTACCACTCTCTTTCCCATTAATTTCTCAATTAAAGAAACCCCAGAAGAAGAAAAACTCCCATTTTTGTTTCCACCGCCACTATGCAATAACCTCGACGCAATTCCCAAAACAAGCTCTCCCGTGGCGAGAGCAAAAGACTTACGCGCTGCCGCAGGCAGCGTTTGAGGCGGTGGTGAGTAAGTGATTTTATTGTTATAATTAGAAGAAGAGCTTTTAATGGAAATTTTGAGGGATTGTGAGCGGTGGGTGAGATATGGGTTGGGGTTGAGTGGAGAGAAAGGAATAGAGGTGGATTCAGAAGGGGGGGAGAGAGGAAAGAGAAGGAGCCATGGAAAATGGTGAAGAAGCAGAAGGAAATCGTCTGTTTAAAGAAGAACATCCTTAAAAGAAAAAGGTTGGTTAGTTTTAGGCGCCAACCGAAAATTAAAAAATAATAAACAATTGTAAACCGTTTTTCTTCCTTTTTCTCTGTTTGGTGGATCATAAAAGCATATGAATATTTATTTACACTAAATATTTTTTATTACATAATAACTCATTCAAAGTTTAATAAAAACACTGTATATGATGAAATATTTTTTCATAAAAATAAAAATTTAATTAATAAAAAACAAAATATTTAGTTATTTTTCAATTTTTTTGAAAGAGAATAATGCAGCTTTATTATCTCAAGAAAAAATTCTGATAAAAATCGAGAGATAGTATTTTAAATCTGAAAACGAACATTAGAATAAGAAGCTCTAACTAGATGATGAGTCTCCAAATTGACTTGTATTCGAACCCAATTGATTTTAATATTGAGCCTAAACTTGTAAAAGAGACTTATAATTATATAACAATATAAAACTCAGAGTTATCTAATAAAGAAGAATTTAGAGCAAATAAACAAGTTTCTAGTTATTTTTTAAATTGGTTTCTTTTTTATTATGTAAAATACTTGTTATACTTATATCAGATATAAATTTATTGCTTACCCAATTAGTAATTTATTATCATTTTAAAAATATATCTTTTTTTTATTAAAAATATGAAATACAAACTACTCTTCATCCTAGAATAAGTTATGTAAGAACATCATGATACAGCCAATATTTATACAGCTGTCAAAAATAATAATGGACACCATATACTTACCTCTGTTTCAAAATATAATGCGATGTTTGATTAAACTATGAAAGTGTAATCCTTGGGTAAGTGCATAAAATAATTGCATTTGATTTGCATTATCAATTTTACTTCCTAAAAAATAAATCATATAAAGAAAGTAACTTCCTTAAAGATAGTTAAGGAAATTGCACTTTTATAATTAAATTCAATGAATTTATTATTTTATTTTATTATCTAAACACGTTTAAATTTATATTATGGACATTATTATTTTTTATAATTTACTTCTCACACATTTTATTTGTATACCAAACTTATTCAAATTATAGTTTTTAAGAAATTATTTCCTTGGACGTGTATCTTCCTGAGAAAAATATTTTTCAAAATAGACAATGTTGAACCAAATGAAGCCTAAGTCGTGTTAGGATAATTTTTTTATAAAAAAATATGAATTGCTTTGAATATTTTAAGCAATAATAAGTGATATTTTTCCAGTTTTACCTTTATTTATATTAAATACAATATAATGATGTGAGATAAGGGAATTATGTGAAATAAATATAATTTGGTCAATTATTCTCGATACAACTTATATTTTTTAATAAATAAAACAAAAAATAATAACAAAGAAGTTAAGCCATATGGGAGAGTGCTTCAAATGTAGAATCCGTTGTCTTGATTGGCATCTAATTTAGCCAGAAAATCAGGACAAAATGCTCCTAATTTCAATTCAATAATTCAGCCATTGTCACCCCTTTTACATGACAAACACATCTAATTCCTCATTCCTTCCTATTATAACAATTCATTAGCTTGATACTGGTTAATTTCTCAAACAGTCTAGTCTATATTACCAAGGGAAATAAACGGAATATAGAAAAATAAAGAAAAATATAATAATAAGCCGTAATAAATTTTATTTAGTTGCTAACGAGATGTGATTTGATTAGTATTTTCATTTATGCTAAGAGTGGAAGATTTCCTATTCGAGTTTTCTGGACAACGGACCCTTGTTGTATATGTATAGTTCACATTGTTACATCCTCTTCAAGAATGAGTTTCATTAGAGAGGGACTCTATAGGATGGATCCACCATTTTCAAAATAAACAAATTTCCTCTATCTCCCCTTGAAATTCTGCAGACAAGAAACCATAGTCCAATATGAGTGATGGGTCTTTGAATTTTTTTTTTTTTTTGGATAAATGTATATTACTTGCCTTAACTCATCATCCAAGTAAGTGATTTCCAACTGACCACGCCCACTTCCAGGTGATGCAATAGGTATCTATAAAGCATTAAAAGGATATTATTTATCAATTTCTAAGATACCTGATCATGGTTTTGGATATCCATTCAGCCAGCCTTTTTGTCATGCTGAAAGTTATATAAAATGGACGGGCTAACTCACTCCCAAAAGCAGCTAGCTCGAGAGGAGGATTGTCCATGGGAGTGGCCCAACATTGAAGACCGAGTCTAACTCATTTCCCAAAAGTCAGCTCAAGAGAAAAAGGATTGCCAAATCTTATATTTTGAATAGAGACCTCATTGGATAACATTAAGAATTGTAATGTTAACATTGCAACAGACTTTTACATACCAGACCAGCAATCCTGAAGAAGTCAAATTTAACAGCTACCCTTCTTGCATTTATAGGCACTAAATTAGCAGTGACCTGTGGATAAATGGGTAACTCTTCAATTTCAGCTGAATGCTCTAATTAAATCATGTCATATTGTCATATGGTTGCTTGCCATTTTTTTTTTTCCAAGCAAGGATTTATGAATACATATTATGTATTTTCACTCGAAAAACTAGAAACTAAAATTGAAATATTTTGCAGATACTTGATAAGAATTAAGAAGAAGTACCTGATTAAAGAATGGCCAAGTTTCCATGTTTTGAGCTCTTAGAGTATCAACATTAATTGCTTGGTAGATTTTTCCATTTGGTCTTAACAACTTTGGCCTCTGTTTCAAGAACATTACATACAATAGTTAATTACAGGTTCTATAATTAATCTTATTTGCCTTTGTCTAACATGCCAAATGCATCTAAATTTAGAATCAGATCATTACTAATTACGAAACAAGTATCTGTTAGAAAGATTGAGTTCGCCAGTTAACCATGTACAGCAGGAAAATAAACAGAGAGAGAACAGAGCAATAACCTTTGTTTGAAGAACTGATTGAGATGTTGTATATATGAGCTCCCATTTCCCATTCAGCAAATTAGACTTCAAAGGCTCCTTTACTTTGTTCACTGCCTCAAGTTTACGAGCAATCTGATCAAAACGCATAATCCATAATCTGATCAAATTAATGATAATTAAAGGTAAATTAATCAAGATCAAGCTCTAATCTCATCAACTCGTTCTTGATCCTTAGGTGTAGCCTTAGCCCCACGATCAAGAGGAGCTATAGCCTCGAATAGTTCTTCTTTAAGGCTATTAACATCTTTACCTTTTTTCAAAAGACCCTGAAAGAAGGAAACTCTGGTCCTCCATTTCCAAGAATCAACAGCATCATAAATCTTATTCTTGTTAGAGCTTATCTCAGTGTGGGTATTGGGTTTTGAAGACAAGGAAATAAATTTTGATGAGAGAATAGTTTGTGGAGGATGAGAAGTAGTAATTAAGAGTTCAGTTGGGGAGATAAGTGTTTTTAGGTTAGCAGCAGAAGCGGTGGCGGCCATTAGTGGTGGTGGAGCAGTAGAACCTTTTGATTTTTTATTCTTTTTGAAAGTTCGTTTTTTCTCAATTTGCGGATATGGAGCTTAGTCCACTGTTTTTAGGCACGTGTCTATATAATATGGAAAATTGGGAATTTTTACATGAAAATGAATCAAGGTGAAAAATTGTTGATATTTGTGCTCTGATACCAATTTGTTGTGTGGTGCCACTCATTAGGACCCACACATGTTGAAAATAAGTAAATAAAAAAAGGGAAAAATATGGATCCTTGTAAGACTCACAAGCTTTGACAATAAAAAGAAAAAAAGAAAAGGAAATTCGGTAGACGGTGTTATATTTTTCGGTGGATGCGTTGTCCTTCTCCTACAAATAAGAGAGGATGCAATGCTTTAAGACACACAAGAGCAAAAGAAAAAAAAATAAGAGAGATTACAAATAAGAGAGGATGCAATGCTTTAAGACACACAAGAGCAAAAGAAAAAAAGAGCAAAAGAAAAAAAAATAAGAGAGATTACAAATAAGAGAGGATGCAATGCTTTAAGACACACAAGAGCAAAAGAAAAAAAAATAAGAGAGATTACAAATAAGAGAGGATGCAATGCTTTAAGACACACAAGAGCAAAAGAAAAAAAAATAAGAGAGATTTTTAGAGAGTTCTTCAAGTTTTAGAAAGTGTTCTAAAACTAGGGTAAAGAAAAATAGTGAGGATAATTTGGAGTTTTTTCGAGAAACACTTTTGAGTGCCACTATATTGTATTGCTTTCTTTGTGTACTTACTATTTTTTTAGTGGAAGAAATATTTGGAAGTCCCGTGGACGTAGTCCTAAACAGTTAAGGGTGAACCACGTAAATTTTTGTATGTCATATTTTTATTTTTCCATTGCATACTTATTCTCATAATTTTTATCACCGGTCCCTAACAAGTGGTATCAGAGTTGAAGGTTTAAACATATCCAGCCAGCAGTACCGGATCCGTGGATATATTTTGAAAATAAATATACCACAACGACGAGAAAATTACGACGAATCCATTGGTGCAGTCCGTTAAAAAAAAGACGTTGCAGAATCAACCTAGTGATGAATAATAAAATAGTAACTCAAAATTGATGGTGAATAGTACTATTGTCATTACTGTTGCTGAACTCATCACTCTTAAGCCCAGCATTATTCACGCATAGTACTATTTACAGTTATTATTCACGCATGTATGTACTGTTTACGTATACTGTTACTATTCACATATACTACTATTCACGTATACGGTTTCTGTTGGTGATAATATTCTGCACAAGTCAAAAATGGATGATAGAACAACAGACACAATGGTTAGACTCAACTCATCAAACTATGGATGATAGAAGCAACAGACACAATGGTTAGACCTCAACTCATCAACTATGCAGTATGGAAAATATTAATGGAAGATCTTCTATGTGGCTAAAAGATCTCTTGAAACAAATTGAGTTAAAAGCAGTCAGACCCAACTTCAATAAAATGAAGACCGATTTGAAGTTCGACTATACAGAAAAGCAGTCGCAACCATAAGGCAAGTCTGTTGAAATGAGCATCGTAATATCATATCGCTCAATGAGAAAGATGCCCTATTCAATTTGGAAGAAGTTGTGAAGGACATGTAGAACGGATAGATATGACCAGAACAAAGCTTTTTTAATCATAAAGCTTTTGTAAATCTGAAGTACAGAGAATGGCGAAAGTGCCTTCAGATCACTTGGGCAAAATTACCCAAGAAATTTTTGAACCAAACTGACGACGTCATAAATAGTGCTAGAAGACCAGTGCAAGCAACTATTCTTATTGAGTTCCTTGCCGGACAGTTGAAGAGACGCTGATGTGTCACGTTAGTAATATGTCAGTAAGGGAAATCTGACCCTAACCACATTAAAGAATAGTATTCTGAAATGAAAGAAAATAGTACCTAAGGAGAATGGTACAAGTAGCAAACTCAGATGCACTCGTTAACAGTTACAGAAAGGAAGGGGGATAGAAGCAAAACCAGATATCCCATAAATCGCCAAACAATACTTGAAAATTTCACGAGAAGATCCAAGTCAAGAAAAAGGTGTCACTTGCTATCAATTGTGGCAAGCCGGTCACAGTTCCAAAGGCACTGCAGAAAATGGGAAGAAGGAACGAGCCAGAAGAAAAATGATGTGAGGTAAAAGAAGACGATTATACGGAGGGTAGCTTCAGTAGCTATTGATGTTGACTGAACTTGATGATGGAGTGCGCTCTGATTTCTCATTGCTCGTTCTCAGTGAGTGTTTTACTAGTCATTCAATCTCTTTGGAATTATTTTGGGGACTCTTCCTGTTCAATATCATATTTCTTCAAAGAAGAAATATTTTTCATCACTTACTCTCGGAGATTAGGCCTGTTTCAAGACTTTGAATGGCAACATATGTTTTGAAAAATTGCGGCATGGAAATAAGTATGCAATCAAAACCAATGCGGTTTATGATCTCTAGTTGGAAGATGTTGAGATTACACTCCTACGAAATTTCATCTTGATCTCAGTTCTTGTCTTGAAAATTGGGTTTTTATGCAAATCTATTTTGTCAACAGAACTTGGAAGCTTTCCAAAGGTAATAGCTGGGGTTTTTCAGAAAGAGAGAGAAGTCAATCACCTCTCTAGCTACACACCCAGGCTAAAAGTTTGCACTATGAGTGGTGAATTTGTCTCATGTTGAAAATTTCTAATTCTGCTGAGTTGTGGCACAAAACAACTTGGTCCGTTTGGAGTGAGAAAGGAAGATTGTGATGACTCTCAACCAAGAAGAAAAATGGGCTATCTTTGAAAAGGTTTTTGCCTTTTAAAAAATATGCGCTGATTTGTTTGTCTGGTAAATTTCAACATAGAGTTTCCATATATATCAAACTATAGATTTTCTCTCCTTCTCCTTCTAGAAAGCTTCCTGGGTATTTTTCCAGAATTGGTACTTAAAATATT